TAGACCAATCGCGCGGTTAGGTGGTGTCCTCTTTCTGGTGTTCGGAGCTCAGACAAACTATCCAACCGCAGCCATCGAAAGGACCATGCTCGATGGCGGAGGATGGATGAGGCTGATGCGACAAGTGTCTTGTAGTGGCTAGAATAGCCGGACGAGGGGCATGCTCAAATGTCGACATAGTTGCAGCAAAGGTGCCATAATCTGTGGTTCATCCATCTCGCACGAGAGGCAATGATGATATATTCGATCCCCCCGGAAATTCCCCATAAATAAACCCAACATCCGGTCGAAACTGCGGTTGCGTGCGTTCTCGGCCGATTCGAACCCGACCGAAGCGGATATTCTGGTCGTCCGCCTTTCCGTGGTGGTTCCCCGCCCCGCCGCCCTATTATCTTTCGTCCATTTTCCCCGGACAACTGGCGGTGGCCATTAACTAAGCCCATTCCTGGGGGCTCCCATTCGCTGTGCTTTATCCCGAGGCCTCTGCTCGCAGTCAAGTGCGTGCTGCGTCGGTCGAGAGCTTTCGCCATCTCGGGTATTTCTTCACATTTATCCTTCGTCCCTCCGCTCATTCTGCCCTATCTTTCCTTCTTTTTGTCTCTTCCCCCTCTCCGACTCGACTCCCAGGATCACCGACTCAATATGGCGAATAAGAAGCTGACCGGCGCTGCTGTCGCCGAGCACAACTCCAAGGACTCTTGCTGGGTCATTGTTCATGGAAAGGCATATGACGTGACCGAGTTCTTGCCAGGTATTATGCTCTCTCTCAACTCCATTGACTATATACCGGCGGCGTACTGACGACTCAGAACACCCTGGTGGCCAGAAAATCATTCTCAAGTACGCCGGTAAAGATGCGACCGAGGAATTCGAACCCATTCACCCCCCAGACACTCTCGATAAATACCTAGACTCCTCAAAGCACCTTGGAGAGGTCGACATGACGACTGTTGAGCAGGAAGAGAAGGCCCATGATCCCGAAGAAGCCGCCCGCGAGGAGCGGATCCAGCGCATGCCATCTCTAGCGGCATGCTACAACCTGCTGGACTTTGAGACGGTCGCGCGCAGCGTCATGAAGAAAACCGCATGGGCTTATTATTCCAGCGGTGCGGATGATGAAATTGTACGTACAGCAGCCGTGTCGAGTTCCCTTGGATCGATCAAAAGGCTAACCCTATTTGCTTCCTAAAGACTATGCGCGAGAACCACTCCGCATTCCACAAGATCTGGTTCCGACCACGGATTTTGGTCGATGTTGAGAACGTCGACTTCTCCACGAAGATGCTTGGGACGAAGTGCTCCATTCCGTTCTATGTCACTGCGACCGCCCTAGGCAAACTGGGTAACCCCGAGGGTGAGGTTGTCCTCACTCGCGCAGCACACGACCATGATGTCATTCAGATGATCCCGACCCTGGCATCGTGCTCCTTCGATGAGATTGTTGATGCCCGGCGGGGCGAGCAGGTGCAATGGTTGCAACTTTACGTGAACAAGGATCGCGCGATCACGAAGCGGATCATCGAGCACGCCGAGGCCCGGGGGTGCAAGGGTCTCTTCATTACTGTCGATGCGCCTCAACTAGGCCGGCGTGAGAAGGATATGCGATCGAAATTCTCCGACGTTGGCTCCGATGTACAGGCTTCGGGAGGTGACTCGGTGGACCGCTCTCAGGGCGCAGCGCGCGCGATCTCGTCCTTCATCGACCCATCGCTCTCATGGAAGGACATTCCCTGGTTTAAATCCGTGACCAAAATGCCCATTGTTCTCAAGGGTGTGCAATGTGTAGAAGATGTCCTCCGTGCTGTCGAGGCGGGGGTGCAAGGTGTCGTTCTGTCCAACCATGGCGGACGTCAGCTTGACACCGCACCATCTGGTGTCGAGGTTCTGGCCCAGGTCATGCCGATCCTGCGGGAACGCGGATGGGAGGACAAGATTGAAATCTTCATCGACGGCGGTGTCCGTCGTGCGACGGATATCTTAAAGGCGATATGCCTTGGTGCCAAGGGTGTTGGTATTGGGCGGCCATTCTTGTATGCCATGTCGGCATACGGCCAGCCTGGTGTGGACCGGGCTATGCAGCTTCTGAAGGATGAGCTTGAAATGAACATGCGGTTAATCGGTGCTCAGAAAATCGAGGACCTAAACCCCAGCATGGTTGATGTGCGCGGTTTGGTGGGTGGGCACAGTGCATCTGTGCCGTCGGACACGCTGAGTCTGGGGGCGTACGACCCTCTCCAGGCACCTCGGTTCAGCGAGAAAGCCAAGCTGTAGTTTGCGTGTTTTTTAAAGTGGCCGACTGGATGTCGGTTAGACTTTTGTATATAATACCCCGGTTAGAATAAACTGTGCATTGCCAACGTGTTGGTACATTTGAACAAAGTAGAGATGCTTCTTCCTTGGCTTCAGACAGACCGACACTCGACAGCCATGCCCTGTCGAAATACAGGCCGTCTTTCTGGACACCTGCCAGCAGCCAGACCCAGAGCAACGGTGCATGCGTGGATCCTGCAGGATCCCTGCGGAATTCCCGCCACTGGCAGTGCCATTCAGCAGCGGCCATTCTGAAACCGAGCGGGGGATTTTCAACGGTCAACAATGCACCACGCCGGTCCGGGCCTTGCCCAAGAAGACTCGTCGCTTCATCCCTCCAAAGAAACTTTGTCTAATTCAAACTATGCCAAACGGCCACGAATTGGAAGCTCATGTCTGCTGCCCTTGAATCCATCGTCTGTGCTTCTGTCCTAGCCGGCCTGGTCCACTTGTATTACGACCCGCGCATGTGGGCTCTCAAGTCAACAGTGAATACGAGTCAACACCCAAATGATCTTGCAAGTTTCCCATCCATTACTCGCTTATATTAACCACTGCCGCTCAACATCTTCCATCGATGCCGGTTCGCGAATACGGCAATTAACGGGACCACCCGACCAAGGATCTGGCTTGTTCGCAGCCAATTCTAGCCCGGGGGACAACGGCTTCGATGCACATCGCACCACTTGCACCCGTTACTCGCCCCATCCTTACCCACAATTGAAGCCGGTTTCCTGGCAGCCGGGTGCTAGTGGTAGTTTGATGACTGACTCGATGTCCAGCCTAGGCAAGTTGGAGCACTGAGCTGCTGTCATCCTGCCACTGCCAGCCATATAATTTCCTCTTCCGGCCGTTCATTTCCCACACCGTTCGTTCCTCGTCCCGTGTCTCCACACACACACAGAGAGAGAGGAAGAGTGACAGTGACACACCTCATTGACTTAAAGCTGTTGAGGGTTCAATGCGCAGGTCTAGCTTGTTTTGCTCAAATTTATAGACCGCCCTATCCGGATCTTCCGCGCATATGAAGGTCCGAGTTCTCTCCGAAATATACGCCCTTCCCCACGCTGAGCTTATTCTTGCTTTTCAAGACCCCGTTATAACACTTTATTTTTACCTTCATTTCTCGCTCTATAACTAACGCAGCATGGTAGTCCGCAGTAATGAGAGAACCTCTATGGTGGGAGGCGGGTTTTATAACAAGAACTCTAGCCTCCAAGCTCTCGTTGCAGAATCGTGCGGCGGATTAGTGTCTCTCGCAGATGTTCAAGGTTCGAAGTTCTATACCCTTGATGTACAGATGGATGGCACACTTACATATGCTAGGTAAATCGGTGACGTTTGCCGACTATGGGTGCTCCGAGGGGTCAAACTCGTAAGTCACCAAAGTTGAAAGTCTCGAAAAGAGTTACTGACCCACCAGGTCCCGTATGATCCAGAGAGCCCTTGGTGTATGTCCGAAAGACTGCACTATCACCATTGTGTTCAATGACACTCCAGCCAACGACTATAACAGCTTATCATCTACGATAGACCGCGCCTTACGAGGTCCGGGCAGCAAAAGCCCCCGAAAGGTCTTTTCGCTGATGGCACCCCAAAGCTACTACGAACAAATCGTGCCCGATGAGTTTGTTGACATTGGTTTCTCTACCGCATCTCTACATTGGATTAGTCGTCTTCAGCCGGCAAGCGGCAACCTGCTACCGAGTAACGCCGATGTATCAGCAGAAGTCCTGGCAGATGTGCTGCGTTTCCTTCGTCCACGCTATAACGAGGTACGGACCGGTGGCCATTTACTTCTCAGCTTCCCGGTTGACGGAGAGCTCAGCCTTAAGTGCGCATATCCATCTATATTCCAATGCCTAAAAGACCTGGCCGAAGAGGGTATCATTTCCCAGGAAGCTGCCTCGAAATTCCGCCTGCCTTTCCATTTCAGAACACCAGAAGAAATCAACCAGGCATTAGTTGCCGTGAAAGGCGAATGGCAGGTAATTGAGCACTTCAACCGAGACGTGGCACATCCGGCATTCCTAGAATTCCAGTCAAGCTTTGCGAGCTCATCATCTGGTACACCCGATCCAGCGGCTTTGGACGCGTATAGTAATGCCATTAGTGGTGGGTTCGTCGCGATCATTGGCAACACCGTAGTCGATACGGCGCGCGTGTTCCACGACAAGACGAGCACTGCAGCGGATCACTCTGCGGAGACCATCCGCTCGAAGATGGTGGAAAAACTGCAACAGCGTCTACGAAGAAGCGATTTTTGGAAGACGCCACTGGGGAACAAGTATGTGTTCCTGAAACTGAGGAAGATTTGAGAGCGATTTGGATAGTGGATGAGTCGCGTGATGCAATGCGATGGGCTGGACCTCTGCGTTTTCGATTAGATACCTCATACTTGGACAAGCTTCGAATTTCTATTATTATTCCCCCTCAGCTAGCACAGAGCAGTATCGCGTAGCTGTATGCAAATGCAATAACGCAGGGGGTTGGTTGGCGGTCGGAATCCGGCCCCGCCCGTGACCAAAAAACGACAACGGTCTGCAATTTATCCTCGCCCTCCCTCACCTCGCCATTCAACATCCTCAACTCTTGCATTGGCCGTTTCGACTATTCCAGTTATCTTCCAAGCCCGCAAGTAAAATGCCTCGGTAGACCATTCCGCCCGGCGATCCCCTCGACCATGCACAATGAGCAAGCGCCCGCTCGAAGAGTCCCCAGGTCGCGGTGGCTCTCCGCCGCCAGAGCATATCAGTCACAACGGCCTGCTGCCCATCAACGACCTTCTCTCTCCCACGCCTGAGCACCAGGGCTCGTCTGCGGGGTCCAAAAAGCCACGCAACTTTATTGCCACTGTGGTGAGCATACCCCGCTGGGGATATCTTCCGGTGCCAAACTAATCCGAGTATAGGCCTGTGAAACATGTAGACTCAAAAAGACAAGATGTGATGAGTCACGGCCCAAGTGCGGCCTTTGCAAGTCGCTCGGTCTAGAATGTGTCTACAATGAGCGCAAGACTTCCAAGTTTGTTTGCGCCCTCTTCCTCGTACTTTCTACCTAGACGGGGACTTGTTGCTGACATCCCCGAAGGCGTGACCACTCGCTCACTCTAATCATGAGCACCCTCCATCGCCTCGAAACCAAATTGGAGAATGTACCGGCTAGCATGCGCCACGAAATTCGGTTACTGCAAGCACAGTTGCCCGGGGCGCCATCAGGCCCGGGGGAGATGAATGCCCCCAGCAGTGCCACTCATGTGCCTGCGCCGGCAATCGCCAAGCAAGCCTCTTTAGGGACACCGCAAACTCTGACTCCATCGGGCGAGCCGGAAGTGTTCGAGTTCGATGAGCGTCCAAATGCCGTCAATGCAAACGGTCTGGTTTCAATCTCGTTCAGCCAGCACGGCGTTGTTTTATGGCCCGGCGCACGGGAGATTCTCCCGCAGCGTCTGCTTGAAGCGCACGAGAAACTGGGCAAGAACTATGTGATCGACACGGAGATGAACAGGCCGCCTCTGCCTATGTACAACTACCCATTCCCGCCACAGGCTGGGGACGATTGGTTAGAGCTTCTTCCGGTGGCGATGATCAAGGGTCTATCGACTGCTTTCTTCGCTACTTTCAATCCGTTTACGCCTATAATGGATAAGAACTTCTATTTTACGTTTACGCTAGGGGCGGCCCTTGAAAGTGGATTCGGGTATACGATGGAGAGCTGCATAGTCTTGAATATCATGGCCTTGGGTTGTTTGGCCGTTCATGCTCACCAGGAAGGTAACTATCCTCTACCAGGAACGCGAGGAAACCACTTCGAACCACCGGAGTGGATGGCGGTCGTCCATGAAGAACCACCTGGGTTACGGTTCTTCAATGAGGCCCGGCGACGTATGGGATTTTTGATGTGTGAAAATGACATTCAGAGTTGTCAATTCTATCTATTATCATCGTATGTACGCATGCGCGTGTTCTTCTAGCTCTAGCTAACTTTTTTTTAAGTGTCTACTACTCGCAAATATTACGCCCTATGGATTCATGGGCCATGATTCACCGCGCTGCCACCGGGTGTCTTTCAATCTTGACCAAGTGAGTGCCTGCTCCTTCCTTGCTCTAATCTGCACGCTAACAACTCAGTCATGATGTCAACTTCGACGAGTGGGAAGGTGACATGAAGTCGCGTGTCTATTGGAACTGCCTCATGAACGAGACTATTCTCGTACAAGAACTCCACCTCCCTCCAAGCGGTTTGTCACGGTTTGAAGAAGTTGTCCCCATCCCCAAATTCATAGGCTTCGAAACACTCGGCCTCCTACCCTCGCGATTTTCATCCTCGGCCGAGGACATCGACGACTCTTTCTTCCAATACCACTTCCTCGCGCAGGTCGCCCACCGCATCATCCTTACCCGCATCCGACATTCTCTATATTTCCACTCGGACTCGGGCAACTTCCCTCAACCCGCCGTCAATGTCGAACTCCATCACCAACTCGGCCAATGGCGCCAAAACCTACCCCCGGGTCTCAAATTCCCAGACCCAACTACTGTATCAACAACCACCACCCCCCAAACGGCAGCGACCCCGCCGAACCCAATCTCTCCGCACCCGCTGTCCTCAACAACAACCACCGCCAACACAAGCACAAGCACAAGCACCAACACCCGCCCCCTCTCCCCCGCCGTTGCGGTCTCTGAAGCAATGCTCCGCGGCCGCTTCATGATCGCCAAATTCCACATCGGCCGTCCGTATTTATATAAGGCGCTCCGCATCCCATCCCTCCTAACAGACGATGAACTCGAGCAGGTTCGCAGCGGTCTACAAAATGCAATGGATTGGCCGATTATTCTAGGCATATTCCGTGACATGAAGAGTTGCATTCCGATTAAATTTGCTTTCTGCTCTCAGTGCGTCCCTGCCCCAACTTTTATCCTATTCCATGTCTCAATACAATACAGTACTTAAGGAGAAGGGAATGTTTTGTTTCTCAGTAGCTAACGGTTATATATAGGTTCTTTGGCCAAGTCCTTCTCTTTTACTGTATCTCGCACTCTCCTGATGCTCGGGTTCGAAGTGCGCTGCCTCCTGGCTGGGATCGGTGGAATCAGGAGATGTTAAGATTCTTGGAGGACTGTGCGATGTATAGTCCCGCTGTTGCGAAGGATCTGGAACTTTTGCAACTCCTGTGATTCAATTGGTGGCTCTTCGTTTGGTGTTTTGGGGAGTTTTCAGGTGTATTTTATATTCGGTGTGTAGGATTAAAAGGATAGAATGGATGGCTACAGTGAGATAGCCATGGCTAATTGCGCCCGGATTCAGTATAGGGTTACGAAAAACGATGGCATAAATGGTATCATATGTTATACATTCGCTCCTGCCATGTTTTTCTTTGGTCTCTGGAATCATGCAATGCCTTGCATTAACCACTCTAGCAGGATACTCAATTCTTTGATCCCTCCGCCTTCCGGCCCCCAAACTTTGAGTCGCTCAATGACTACCCGAACACAACCAGCCCAACTAACCGGTAGGCTAACGTACTCGGCGGAAGGAATCTCATCAACTTTTGCGCGGAAGGCAGCAATGAGACAAAGCGCATGGTTGAAGCGTACTCTACAAGCCCCCCAGCTCCCAGGGTGGCGGAACCACGGGACTTCGTTGTGGATGCGATATACGGCAAGAAGTAGGGATTCAGTTGCCTTGGTGCCGTATAGCGCTGCGAGCTCCCTGTCTAGTGGTGTGTGGATGCAGAGATACAGATATGCACGGCACAGAAGTTCGCGAACCTCCACGTAACGTTCGCGGACTAGCTTCACGAGCTCTGGCTCCTTTGGTGGTGGGCGAGATTCGAGCGGCATGTTGAAGCGGAGGGCCGGGGGTAGACATATTACCCACTGATGGAGTTGATCTTCGAGGTGGGAAAGTGTACCTGAAAGGTTTCTTATGCTGGCGATGTCAAGGTTAGGTGAAAGAACGCGGACAGTGTTCCGCACGCGGTTGAGTAACCTGCGCATAGATATCTCTGCGAGATAATAGTAATATGGAGTTGAGTCCAGGGCTGGGCCCGATGGGCTATGAACGCTGTCTTCTGGACTGCCTCCATACGGAGAATGATATACAGGGAAACTAGGCAGTGCAAAAGGAAAGTCGGAAAGCGAGAGATCGGAAGGTGGTAGTTCGCATAGCTCATATCGGACCTCACTAAGGAATGGGTTAGTGGCCTGCAGGTATTCTTCATCTAGGATATCTCTCGTCTCATTGCACCAAACGACGCACCACTCAGACTTTAAACATGTCCAATATAAACTTTGTTCTAAGCCTAAGTTACGTCAGTACTTTCACTAAAACAGGGCGAGATGTATCCATACTCTCCTCCTGTGCGGACCTTTCGCCATTCCCGCTCCGATGCTTCATGTTATACGTCTGCCACAGCATGGACGCCGTGCGAAACATTTTCCACCCTGGTATTGGCTCGATATTGTATTGGTACCAGAAACTACAGGTTTGTTAACAGAGGCAAGCCCGCTATGGGAGCACCAACTCACCCAAATAGGCAAAAACACTGAACCCCCAATAGCGAATTGTCCAGATAGGCAGCTGATATTCGCTTTCTTGCCATGGAAATATACTGAAGAGATTCTTTCATCCGATCTTCCGGAACGGCTATCGTCACATAGGTCATTGGGGCGCCATATCCAGGTTCTAGGCATTGGACTTCCCTTGTTTCATCTTCAGGGTAAGTACCCCAAATGGCTGCCAGCGCAAGGACAAGTAGCACTAGACAAGATGAAGCAGACCAGTCGATACCTGTTTCCAAAACACGCGCTATGTAAGCCTCCAGCTGCTCCTCATCTATAATGGGGTTTTTGGACAAGATCTTGGTCATGAAGACATCGCGTAAGTCTATGATCCTCCGCGGTTCGAAGCTCGGGATGACTTGTTGCAAATCTCAGTATCACACTCGTCACAAGGAGGAAATCGGTCGAGTACGGACAGACTCACCAGTGGGAAAACGATCTTGCTTCTCCTCAAATGCAAGAGGAGGGAAAGTTGAAACCGGCCTCTCTTGGGGAAATATGGGCCAGCTCAGAATCATGTCTGATCCGGTTATCGGAGTCTTGAGAGTATCATTGCGCGAAATCAACTCCGTGTCTGGTTCGGTCGGCTCGACTGGAGACCGGAGCAGGTTGGAAAATTGCTGGGACTGCTGGAAGGGCAGGCTCGGCGGACTGGCAGCTCCCAGGGTGTCTTTGAGCAAACGCTCCTGATTCTCGACCGAAGCGAGGATCTTGGAGCCCCATGCCTCAAGACTAAGTAACAAACGGACATTATCAGATCACGCCGGACGGCAAAAGATCAGAAGCAAACTGACATCGATACCGGATCGCTTTCGGGGTAAATACACGCCACGCCACGTTTTTGGCATTTGGCACAGATCGGGCGTGCGGAATCACACCGGGTTTTAGACAGCCGGCAAGACTCGCAGGCCGTCAGAACTCTAGTATGCTTGCGCGGTTTGGAGATACCCGAAGCAGTCTCCATCTGCAATCTGCAATGGGTGGGGAGAAGAAATAGTAGCTAGGCAAGGGGAGATCACTGCGGGGAGATCTCACGTCTCACGAAGTACGGAGTGGAGTTGTGTTAGCCCCTCAGTGGCAGTAGCGCTCGTTATGCCATTTAGCCAAAAGAGGACAGGGGCATTTTGCAGGCTTTGTAGATTTGACGGTAGAAAGAGCTGGAAAAGTCAATGCGGGGTGAAGTGTCATCAGCAGCCATGGTTTATTCTCTGACACCGGAGAGGAAGGAGCGATCGCACCTGCCCAGTTAAGGTGCCAAAGAACTAATTTTCCTCCAATAATAACCGTCAACTAAATTTCAGGTACAACTTCAAAACTGATTCTACCTAGGCAAGTTCTAAGTTCTTGGTATCTTCTTTAACCAAATCAGCATATCTTTAGTAACTAAACGCCTCGCCAATACCGTGTCTGGCCGACTTCGAACTGTCCACGCGCAACAATGTCTTCGCTCGATGTCCCAATCAGCACCTCATACACCCCTGCCTCACTTTTCCACATGTCTTCAATCTCATCCCAGAAACTCGTTGCGTATTTATCCAGCTTGATAACCACTGCCTGCTCCTCGCCTGGTTGCAGGAATACCTTTTCGAACCCTTGCAGCTCTTTCTGTGGGCGTGGTGTTGGGCTATTGGGGGCCCCCACGTATAGTTGAAGCACCTGCGCACCGGCGACTTCGCTGATATTCTTGATCCGAACAGTTGCAGATGAGGGGGTTTCCGGTGTGAATCGATCCGGGGAAACTGAGGCTTCTGGTGATACCTCAAAAGTTGCATAAGACAGCCCGTGTCTACACTTCGGTCAGCAATCATCTAGGCCATTCTCAGGAACATGGTCCATACCCAAATGGAAACAAAACTTGACGGCCAGTCCTCTCATAAAATCGGTAACCGACATATACATCCTCGCCGTATAGGACCCTTCCGCCAACGCTGGCGTAATTCAGGTACGCTGGGTTGTGTCTAACATCCCTAGGCCATGACAGTGAGAGCTTACCTGAAGGATTCACTGCGCCAAATATGACATCAGCAATACCGTGCCCTGTTTCGTTACCTCCGTACCATCCATGGACAATGGCATTTGCCTGGTCCACCCACGGCATTGTTACCGGGGTCCCAGATTGGTTGACGATAACTGTTTTGTCCGCAGCTACGTCCAGGACACGCGATATCATGTTGTCAATCCCAAGGGGGAGGTCCATATGTGGTCTATCAAATCCTTCAGACTCGAAATCCGCGTTCAGCCCGGTGCAGAGAATTGTGTAATCGGCCTCTCCTGCTGCCTTCACAGCTCGCTTGATCATCTCTTCAGCATCCATGCGCAGAGAGGCCCCCAGATTCGCAGCACCACCGCCAAAATTCACCATCCCAGTTGTTTTCAGAGTTGCGGTATTGGCACTTCCGTACTCTATTCGAATCTTGTATGTCTGGCCGGCCACTAACGTCTTTGACCCAGTCTCCTCGATTGTGCCCTTGCCGAAGAATGCAGTGCCCTTGGTTTGCTTAGTGGTGTTGTCGATGACCAACTCGTCGTCGATATACAAATTTGCCGTTCCGAACACGGTCAACCCAAAGTCCCATACACCAGATGCGTCACAGTTGAAGTCCCCAATCAAAGTTGACCAGAAAAGCTCCCTGTTCAGCCCTGGAAGCTTGTAGTCCATGAACTGAAAAGCGGTAGTAGGAACAGACTCCGTCCCGAGGCATTTGCGGTCTGGGTTTGACACCGGCTCGTTGTAAAAGTGGATAACGGCGTTGCTCAACAGACGGTCAATCACCGGGAGCATTTTGTGAGCATGCGCACCCGTTTCATATATAATCTCTGCGTCTGGGAGTGCCTCTTGTACTGCTTCATACAAGGTCGAGGCGTGGTATGGTTTCAAGGCCGCGCTACCGCCACCAGATATTGCTGGTGTTTTGATATGGGACCCGATGAGCGCAATTTTTTTCACGGTCTTTGGAAGTGGTAGGATACTTCCTTCGTTCTTCAGGAGAACCGTGCTGTTCGAGCAGAGCGTACGCATAAGTGCGCGGTCTTCCGCATAGTCGCGGCCTTTCTCAACCTCTGAGACCTTGGTCCGGCTTGCACGTTGGACAAACTCCAATACCTTGCGGGCTCGCGCATCTAATGTGGAAGACTTGATAAGCCGTGCCTGTATCGCAGACTCAATATATTTCCCCCTATACCTCGATACTCCGGGCATCTCCAGGTCCAGTCCCGCATTTGTCGAGTCAATCGTTGTATAAGTCCCGTACCAATCGCTTATGACCAGCGGGTCCCATTCCCACTCTTTACGGATCAGGTCATACATCTTCTTGTCCTCCACCACATGCTTCCCATTGATCTTGTTATACGAGGTCATAAGCGCACCTGGGCTGGCATCCCGCGCGACAATCTGGAATGGACGCAGGTATATCTCACGGAGTGCACGGGGAGTCACAATCACATCAACAGCCCGTCTCTCGTGCTCCTGGTCATTGCCCACAAAGTGCTTCACTGTAGCGATAATACCCTTACTCTCACATCCAACGATCATCGAAGCCGCAGAAACGCCCGCTAGGTACGGGTCTTCAGAGAAGGACTCAAACCCACGCCCACCCAGTGGTGACCTTTGCATATTTACCGTCGGACCCAGCCAACAATGTGCGCCCTTGGCTATACATTCATCCCCCAGAAGCTCCCCAGCACGTTGTAGTAGCTCTCGGTCCCAGACGGCTCCTAGGGCGGTCCCGCAGGGAAGACAAGCTGCAGGCACACCGGCGAAGAACTTGGTACCTCGAATGCCATTCGGGCCATCTGTTACCCGTACTGAGGGGACATTGAACTCCGGGATTGGATGCGTGTGCCAGAAATCAATTCCTAGCGGCAGTCAGTGTCAGGCGGGGTTCTTCAATAGAGAGAGGGAAAAGAAATTGGAGTGCATCCTGACCAGCAAGCAGCGCGATCTTGTCCTGGTCACTGATGTTCGCCAGAACATAGTCTACATCGAACGTCCGAGTCATTCTTGGCAGAGAAGCAGGTGTAGCTGCTGCAGGGTCAAACTTGTCTCCCTGCGGAGGGGAGAAAAGGCATTCCTTAAGTAAACCGACGCCCCCATAGCTGTCTGATAAGCTCAACATTTCCTCTCCAAGCGCGGGGAATCACTGACCACAACCCACATCTGGCACCTGAGCTGGACGGTCTCTAGGCCACTTCGGGGATAGACGGCAACCCCGTTCATTGGGTTGGAGAAACATCTTGCATCCACCGGCGGAGTCTCCCCGACTCATGTCGCGGCAGTTGAGACGTGGAATATACGAAGTAGTGGAATTAATCGGCTTACATTATTGCGCAAACTACGCATGGTTTCGCTTGGGACCAAGTGATTATGGGGAGACCCCGCGCTCTTCGGCGGAGCCGGCATTCGTGGCTCTCCTTGGTGGCTGAATTATCCCGCAGTATATCCGATGGGTTTGCCTCACTCTACAGACACACTTGACTCCAAGGATCGATTGACATAATAACGAAGAAGATAAGATGATTTCTTTATAACTAGTAATTGTCCGGATGAAATGCCGTCTCGGCAATGTGGGCGATGTTCAAATTAGTTCTTTCTCACAAGCAAACCCCCTTAGAAAATATATACATCGGGTGCTTTTTAGGGTTTATATAAATATACGTATCGAAACATTATTCGACCAAAAAGCCACTGGCAGTGGTATTATCTTTCTATATTGCATTATATGCCAACAATACGTGCTTTTATTTTCTCTAGGCGGACCTTTGTACACCGAAGAAGGTAATCAATTCATTGAATCATATGTCATTCATTCTCTGCATATCAGCCAAAATCGTACGGTGGAGTTATGTTCTTCCAAGCCATGCAAGTCAGAGTCGCTCCCATCTAGAAAAACAGGTATGTGTAGGTATGTACATATGGTTATACAGGAAATCTCACAGCTTTGCTTTACCAGGTGCAAAGTTGGATCCCTGGCCCTCACTGATCCCTTCCACAATCTCATCCACACTCCTTAGAATCCACTCATTCCCTTCTTCCCCAGCTAGCCACCTAGCTCCTTCTTCACCTTGGGCGTCCTCAACCCAAGTTCCGTCTTCCAGTGCCTTCCTGAGTCCAAACACATGCGAAACAACCTGCGGCCCAACACCCGTCTGCGCTCTCAAGCAAGAAACGGCAATAATACTCGTCCCCACTCGCCCGATCTTTGCCCCTGTTGTCCTCCCTTGCGGATCAGAAAGCAGAGCTCCGTAGTTCGCATGCAAAATATGCACGGGCAGATCGGGATGAGAGTCTCCCAGCTTCTCGAATAGCTTGACCTCGAAGGGCCGGTAGATCGAATCCCAGAGTGCCTTGCCGCGCGCCGAGATCTCTGAGATATTTTGCGGCGAGGGGGCGCGGGTTGCTGTTGTTGAGAGGCCTGAGGCCACGGAGTCTGGAAGCGATGCTCTAAATGCGTTGAGACAATTTATCGTTCGGGGAATTCCGTTGAAGCTTATGCATTTTAGACCGACTTCGCGCATGAGTTCCGCTGTTGCGATGCGGTCGGGGGTGGATTGGGAAGATGTAGCGAGCTCGAAGAGGGCGGTTAGGGAGGCGGGGGAGTTCATGGTCATTGTTGCGGCTGTCTATTTCAATGATCATATTAGCTCTTATATGATTTGAGAAGTATATGGAAGGAAGCATACCGATAAAGCCAGCCATGAGTGCCGTGAGACATTCTTTGCCTGCGCGGTTTGCTGGATCTTCGCGTAGATGGATTGGATGTTGCGCGGAGCCGGGACGGTGTTGGGCCGGGCGGCGGGGGAGTTGATGAGTGACTTGAGGCCAGGTGAGAGCTTAGACATTTTGTAGAATTTCGAGAGTCCGCGCGAGAACAGTATCTGGGGTGATGCTGGCTTAGGCATCGGTCGGGGTATACTGGAGAGGAGAGATTAAGTAGTCGGGCCTCGGCTCCAAAAGTAGACGCCGATAAGAGGCGGATGGAGAGTGTTCCCAGATAGGCATAGTGGCTTCGCTCGCCTTATCGTCTACATGATCCGAGCCCCAGCTCTCCAGCTCTCCAGCTCTCCAGCTCTCCAGCTCTCCAGCTCTCCAGCTCTCCAGCTCTCCAGCTCCTCAATTACTCCGTCCTTGCTGTTGCAAAGGACACTGGCGGTTGGCGTATGATTCATAAATGAGCAATGGGTGCTGGTCTTGGCTGTTGCGTGTGGCGACCGAAGGTAATTTACCAGCGATGATCTCTAGTCACTGAGTCAGGCTTTCTTTCTGCACGCTTTCTCGAATCTGGGTCGACTTCCGTTGTGACGAACATTCCCCTGACCCGATCCCTGGTTTGGATAGATCATCGCCTGCCGTGCTTCTCGGAATTATCGCATCTCGATCCCCAACTCGACAAGGGCATTTTTGGGTCCACCATGTATTCCCACTCCTTCCCGTCAAACGGGCTACATCTCCAACCAAATCGCCATCCCTCACCTCCACCAAGCCTCTATTGTTGTTTAGTGTTATGATCGACATGGGTGTTCGTACGCGAGACTCGGCTTTTCTTACAACCGGGCATGCCACTTCGGCTACACTGGTGGGGTCTGGAGAATTTCCAGGAATAGGAACACTTGGTAGATTAATGGTCCCAGTAGAAGGCATGACCCCGGCACGCGACTCATCGTTACACTTGGCTTCGCGACATATTTCAACCCCGCCTTGACCCAACTATCTGTCGAATCGAACACAGGGGTCATTTGTCTATACCTTTCTCTTGCAACGGTCACCTACCAAGAAGCCCCGTAACGCAAACGCGCTGTTCCGTTGTTTGTGAGAGCAACATGCCTCACTGGCTGTCTCTTGCTCTGCTGGCCGCAGCGGTGCCATGCAGCCTGGCCTCTCCCAAAGGGGCTAATATTGATGCACGCGATTCCGACGATGATGCATTCTCTCCGCCATACTATCCAGCCCCGAATGGTGGCTGGGTGTCCAATTGGGAGGAGGCGTATCAGAAAGCGCACCGTATCGTGAGCAACATGACACTGGCCGAGAAGGTAAACATTACCACCGGAACTGGGATTTTCATGGGCCCCTGCGCCGGCCAAACAGGCAGTGTCCCTCGATTCGGTATCCCGAACATATGCCTTCACGATTCTCCGTTGGGCGTGCGCAATACCGACCACAACACCGCCTTCCCCCCAGGGGTTACGGTCGGTGCTACGTTTGACAAGAGGCTCATGTACGAGCGCGGGGTTGGTCTTGGGGAAGAAGCACGCGGAAAAGGTGTCAATGTGCTACTTGGCCCATCTGTCGGCTCGATGGGGCGGAAACCAAGGGGAGGTCGGAACTGGGAGGGATTTGGATTCGACCCGAGCTTGCAGGGTCTTGCGGCTGTACAAACGATTAAGGGAATGCAAAGTACGGGAGCCATTGCCAGTATCAAGCATTTCATAGGAAACGAGCAGGAGATGCACCGCATGAGTAGTGTGGTAACACAGGGCTACTCGTCCAATATTGATGACAGGACACTTCACGAACTTTATCTTTGGCCTTTTGCTGAAGGTGTACGTGCTGAAGTAGGCTCAGTGATGATTGCTTACAATGATGTGAGTGCAACCTTTTTTTTTTTTCTTTCAAACTGCCGTGCTGATATATCTAGGTAAACAAATCGGCCTGCAGCCAAAACAGCAAACTGATTAATGGAATTCTTAAAGAAGAACTCGGCTTCCAGGGGTTCGTCGTAACTGACTGGCTGGCGCACCTTGGTGGTGTTTCATCTGCATTGGCTGGCCTGGATATGAGCATGCCTGGAGATGGAGCCATTCCACTGTTTGGAGATAGCTATTGGGGCCCTGAGCTTTCCCGTTCTATTCTCAATGGAACTGTTCCGGTTGAGCGATTAAACGATATGGTATGTAATAGCCTCAGCCATACTGGCCCTATACTAATTGATGCACACAGGTTACTCGTATCCTGGCAACATGGTATAAAATGGACCAGGACCAGGACTATCCGCTCCCCAACTTTTCCAGCAACACGGAGGATGAGAAGGGCCCTCTCTACCCAGGTGCCCTCTTTTCTCCCGTTGGGGTTGTGAATCAATACGTGAACGTCCAGGGAGATCACAATATCACTGCACGAGCTGTCGCCAGGGACGCCATCACACTCCTGAAGAACGAAGGCGGTTTGCTGCCATTGAGGCGTAATGATTCGTTGAAGGTCTTCGGTACTGATGCCGGGGCAGACCCGCAAGGCTTGAACTCTTGCGCCGACAAGGGATGCAACAGGGGCGTTCTCACAATGGGGTGGGGAAGCGGCACATCAAAGCTTCCATACCTCATTCCGCCACAAGAAGCAATTGCCAACATTTCATCCTCAGCTGAATTCTATATCACGGATAGTTTCCCTTCGTCTGTTGAAGCCCACGATGACGATATTGCTATTGTCTTCATCAACTCTGACTCAGGTGAGAATTTCATCACAGTCGAAGGCAATCCAGGAGACAGAACGTCTGCCGGCCTGCACGCCTGGCATAACGGTGATGACCTCGTCAAGGCTGCTGCCGAGAAGTTCTCTCAGGTGGTCGTGGTTATCCACACCGTCGGTCCTATTATTCTCGAAGAATGGATCGACCTAGATCCCGTCAAGGCCGTTCTCATCGCCCATCTCCCGGGCCAAGAGGCTGGTTACTCTCTGACTGATGTTCTATTCGGCGACTACAGCCCAAGTGGCCATCTTCCCTATACGATACCATACCAAGAATCAAATTACCCATCAAGCGTCGGCCTACTCCAACAGCCGTTCGGTCAAATCCAAGATGACTTCACTGAAGGTCTCTACATCGACTACCGCCATTTCCTCAAGGAGGAAATCACCCCACGTTACCCATTCGGTCACGGATTGTCCTATACAACCTTCAACTTCTCGGAACCTACGTTGTCGACTGTTACCCCATTAGATAGTGCTTACCCCCCGACTCGCCCATCCAAAGGCTCAACGCCGACATATCCCAATACCAAGCCGGCCGCATCTGAAGCGGCCTGGCCAGACCACTTCAATCGAATCTGGCGCTATATTTACCCATACCTCGACAACCCTCAAGGCGCCGCCGCCAACTCCTCAAAGACATATCCTTACCCAGACGGATATAGCACGGATCCCAAGCCCCCTTCACGCGCCGGCGGCGCAGAGGGTGGCAATCCCGCTCTTTGGGATGTTGCATTTTCTGTTCAGGTAACTGTCACGAATTCAGGCCAGCGGTCCGGCCGTGCAGTTGCGCAGTTGTATGTTGAGTTGCCCGACTCTTTGGGACTCGATACCCCGAGCAGGCAATTGAGACAGTTTGAGAAGACCAAGGTCTTGAAACCTGGTGAGAGCGAAACTGTTACTCTGGATGTCACGCGGAAGGATGTGAGTGTTTGGGATGTTGTAGTGCAGGATTGGAAGACGGCTGTTCGTGGGCAGGGTGTGAAGGTGTATGTTGGGGAGAGTGTGCTTGACCAACGGGTGAAGTGTGAGGTCGGTGGAAAGTGTACTACACTTTAGATTCTCGGTACTTTAGATTCTCGGTACTTCGTCTCTAATCTTAATATACTAAATCCTTAAGGGATGGCTGCTTCATCGGCCTTGCCTTCAATGGTGTACATATAGTGTTTATGCAAAGAACATGTAAATGCTTAGTAATCTGCATAAAACAGCCCACCTTATCCTTTGCCCGATAGAGCTCAAATGCCTTTCAACTCCCCGAGTTTCAAACCCTCAAAGGCGAGGAAAACATTACTCAATCCCATTCAAATGACTGGAGCGGTATATACCAAAGGAAGGAGCCTATACCATCCACTCTTTAATACCTAAGCTGGGGACCTCACATCGCCGAATACCGCAAAAATGCAGGGTTTCAGTAAGTCTATTCCGTCGCATCGCAAACCTTCCCCAATGCGAAACTAACGATGCTGTTTCTCTATAGATATGGGGCGGTTCGTATAAATTCTCTCTTTACCCTCGCTAAACCCATAACTAACCTAACCGGTTGTCGAATAGGTACATCCCGCCCGACCAAGAAGGTCTAACAACATCCAACAAGCTCGCCAACAAACACCCGCTCGGCGCGCGCGCGCGACACCTCCAGAGTAAAGGCGCCTTGATTGTGCGCTTCGAAATGCCCTTCGCAGTATGGTGTACGAACTGCTCCCCGGAGAACATCATCGGGCAAGGTGTGCGTTTTAATGCGGAGAAGAAGAAAGTCGGGAACTACTACTCGACCCCGATATACAGCTTCCGCATCAAGCACACGGTTTGTGGGCAGTGGATTGAGATTCGCACCGATCCGAAGAATACGGCCTATGTTGTTGTTGAGGGTGGAAGGAAGAGGGATTTCGGGGTTGATGAGGAAGGGAGGGGTGTCGGGGAGATTATGGTTGGCCGGAAGGATGGGTCTGGTTCTGGCGCTTCAGATGATCCGTTTGCAAAGCTGGAGGGGAAAGTTGAGGATAAGAAAGTCGTCGATGAGACCCGGGGTCGGATATTGGAGTTACAGCGGAGGCAGAATCGGGATTGGGATGACCCGTATGAGGTGTCGAGGCGGTTGAGGAAGGGGTTTAGGGCTGATCGAAAGGTGTTGGAGAAGAATGAGGCTGGGAAGGAGGCACTGAAAGACAAGATGAGTTTGGGGATTGATATTGCGGATGAAGTGGAGGAGGATACGCTCCGGGCTGCGATGGTTGACTTTGGGGAAGATGATACTGGCGGTGATGCTGTACGGGGCGTGCGTACGAAGCCGATGTTTCACCAGTCGTCTTCGTCTCTCTCGAAAAGTAGCGGCGGTGTTCATGACAAGACAAGGAAGAATGGGAAACGGAAAACGGCGGATCTGATTGCGGAACGGAAGGCTTCGTTTCGCAGTGCGCTGGCTGGGAATACACGCGCTGCGGTTGACCCATTTCTCAACGGTGACAATGTATGGGAACCGGGGGTTAAGAAGAGAAAAGTCTCATGGAAGACAGAAGGGAGAAGAACGATTGAACGTGGTACTGATGGTGACCCCCAGTCTACTACGAGCGATGTCTCGGAGATGCCGGATACGACAGAAAAGAGCCAGGTCACCCCTACTGCTCTCGTTGATTACGGGTCAGACTCGGAGTGATTAGCGTGGAATGTATTTGCACTCTTTGCCGTGGCGTTAAGGATTGGATGATACCCAAATAGAATTGGTTTATTGATACAACATCACTGGTTTCATTACATACTACCTCTTTTTGAATATCGGAGATTCGGCGTACAATAGCTCGTCACTAATTACAGAAGGCCAGGAATGCGCTATAAACAGCAGGCCAGACTAATTTTTAAACCATTTCACGTTACTTGGCCCAGGGGGCTTTTGTTGATACTTGACCGGTAGATGTTGAATCGCCAGTAGATTCTGGGCCTCCTCGTTGCGTACTCGCCCAAGGTGCTCGTGTTTGAGCCATTGCGCCAGGAGGAAGCCTTGAAGTATCTGGAATAGTCGATACGCCGCCTCTAGGGGTGCTTGACGATGGCCCTGGAGCTTTAGTGCTCGCCCATGGGGCTCTGGTTCCCGGGCCTGCAGCCTGTGGTGATGCCAAGGGGGCGGGTTCGTCCGTTCTCCGCGTTGTAGTAGTTGTATGAGCTGTGGCTGTCGGCGGAGGGGCATTGGGATCACGCTCCCACCTGAACAATGATCCGAAAGGGAAATGTTGGACTACTGGAAATTTGGAAAGCACTTCCGCATTGTACATTTTGATCATTCCCTAGATGCAGTGAGATATGAATAGGAGAATTGTAAGGCTGAGCATACCTTGTTGATTTTCCCCCACCCGGCCTGGATGCCGGATATATCGTAGAGCATCGGGCTGTGCTCCCAGAAGGGTCCCCGTTTGACATCGTAAATGAAGCCGATGGCGGAAAAATACAAATTTTCCGTCCTTTCTCGTTCCACCACATTTGCTTTTGTCACACCACCTGGCGCTGGTGCATCAGACAGTGATCCTTCTTCAGGTATGGGATCTGACTCGGATATCGGGGGAGCTAATTGCGCTGCTCCAAAGATGTATGGAATGAATGAATGGTCGTCCAAGCCCCAGACACCATGCGAGCCGGCAGGCTCGAGGGTATATCGCTTGATGATGCTCCGGACGAGCTCAAGGTATCTGTAGACAGCTGTATCAGCTTCCATAGTGCGATAGGATGCTGTGGAAAAGACACGCACGGTTGTATCACGCCTAAAACTATCGCCCTCTCCTCCACGCCAGGACTGTTCTGAGGGAAGCCATGTAGCTTCCAAATTCCTGCCAGGAAGGCAAGAAAGCTCAGCTCATGCCCTGTTCCGTAATCCAGCCTTTGGGGGCTACCCCAGCTTCCCAAAAAGTATGCCACCAACTCTACCTCCGCTGTCGGGCCACCAGAATCAGACGACGGGGTTTGCAGGATTTCGGACGATAAACATTCCTCCAAAAGGCCCGCCGCCCGACTCTCCACTATCTGGTGCCATTTCCGAAAACTTATATTGCCAAACCTGCGCGGTCCAGTATCGGGAGGAGCTTCCTCGAGGATCGCTTCAAGCTTCGATAGCAGCAGCTGTAGTTGACGCACTGGTGCGGAGTATTCGATGGCTTCGCAGTTGAGTGACCATGTCTGTACTCGTCCATCTGGTAATTTCGAAGGGAACATTGATCGATTCAGCTGAAGGAGAAAGGTCATGATATCGACGTATGCGTTGGACGATAGGAAGTCGTTCACATCTTGACCCTCGTTGATCCGTTTACTTGGCTGGGTGAAATTGTGCCCCGCGGAGGTGTCGATTTTCGGCAGGACGCGAACTTGCGAAGGGTCCATGGTGTCGTGTAATCTTGATAAAGTTAATTCGACAGGATATAAAAGGAAACTGAAAGCTCTTGAGAAAAGATAAGGATTGTGGAGTTGTGGGGTTGTTCCTGGCTAGAAGCTGGGAGTGGGAGAATGCCCGAGCTCCATGACGCCATGATCCGAGCTCGACGCACGCGGCGCGCTTAGTTGACTTCAGCTTTACTCGTCCACACGCTCCTGCCAAAACGTCCACACCTCCGCAAGACGGCCACTCGATATTGGTAAAGCGCTAGGTTCTCATCAATCAGGCTTTTGCATACTGATGATGTTGCCCAGTCCCTACTTGGACGAGGTTTTTCACCATGGTGACCCCGACGCGCTCCTCAGCTTTGCGGAAAAAAGGCGACTCCACCACGCAATCTGTAGATTATCTGAACTACGGCATTAATAGAAAGGCTTCGGTCGCGGAGGATCGCCAAACGCAAAGTGCCGGCCCGGCACGTCAATTGAGGAGCATCCCGAGAGCGCCACGGCCGGACCTCTTCGAGATACCGAACTCCCCCGAACAACCCCAGCGCAAGCCATCACCGTCGGCCCTTGCTGCACCGTTAACTCCACGTCGATCTACGCGCCTAACTAGGCCTCAAACAGATATACAAAATGGCTCGCTTCGGATGCCTGCCCAACGCTTGCGCGTCGACGACCATGAGGATAACGCGGGGGAAAAGGAATCAGAGCAGTCCCCGCACGAAGAACCCAACAACGAGCCCGTTAACGAGGACGAGGCCCAAAACGGTCTTGAAGACGAGGACAATGAACTTATTGGAAACTTTGATCTCTTTTCGGAAACCAATGGCTCCCGTAGCTCGCGAAGCGTGTCACCTTCAGCTTTCCTGACTCAAGAACTTGAACAGAGCGGGTGGTTTGAGTCAACTCAATCCCCTAACAAAATCGAAATTCTCAAACGGGCTCCAGAATCCATATCCGGTAACAAACGAGATACACGGAATTCATCAAAAATCCAAAGACCTATCTCAGAAGCGGTCTTGCCTGGTCCCTCGGTTGTGATCGCTGCGCGCCCAAACAACGTGCCCGAAACGCCCTTATCAAAGGAGCAATCAACTCGGGGTCATCCGATCTCTTCACCCACGAAAGATGATGATGGTGACGTGGATATGGATGATGGAGAGCAAATAATGAATTCCGAGCATGCGGATGGTGATGATGAAAGTTCAGATGACTCGTTATCCGATTCTTCCCTTTTTGTACGTCAGGACTCTCCAGACCAAACATCCTTATCAGCAACTCGGTCCGGTAAACTTTGGAAACCCCCAAATACTCGCACCCATCAGACCAGAAGCTCAGGTACTACGTCCCCTGCCCATAATGAGCCGACGCCTGAAAAGTCCCCTATCGCCCCGGTACGTGGCAGGAGACCAAACCGCTCTCAAGATGCGCCGAGTCCAGCGGGCCGTCCTGTTGTCCATCAGCTAAATCGACCGCGCACTTCACGGCCGACGTTTCCTGTTAATGAAGCAAAGCATCCAGGACCCAACGGACCTCTAGTGAGTCGACGTATAAGGAACCGAAATAGTCGCATAGTTGCGAATTACAGCAATAATGAAACTGTCGAAAACCATGTACCGAAGAGTACATACCCTAGATGCAAAGAAGCCACAAAGCTTGGACAACAAGAGCACAACTGGAGAGTTTTGGTCGATGAAGCACGCAAGATGAAGCAAAAAGCTATCTCGGCAACGGAGTGTGGCTTAAAAGATACTATCGAGTTTATTAATGACTTACAATCCTGGTACGAGGAATTATACCAAGGCTCAGAGCGGCCCCACAGGCTGTCGCCGAGGGACTCATACAAACAAGAAGAATACCTGACCCAGATCTTGTATGAAGGGGATAGTGTACTGGATGAAGTTTACAATCTCGCTATGAAGCGCCAGCAAAACCAAGGCCGTAAGCTATTTCAAGCATTCGAAGCGCGGGTCATTCCGGCCATTATAAAGCTGGTTTTCACCATTTTCGACGCTTACCATTCAAGCCCCAGATCATTTTCCGGCATATACGACCACCTACACAGTGCCTTGAAGAAACTCGCCCACCTTTGCAATCGGATGACGAGTTTGACAAAGGAGAGATACGTGGGATCGTCTACGTGCACTCAGACATTACGAAAACCCTTGCAAGAGCTCATAGAAGCTTCAGAAACACACTCGCTAGAAAGCACTCGGTTGGATGCCTCTGATTCAAGCGGTGAAAGCAGCGGATCGGACGGTATAAACGACAACGCCCCCATGGTCACCATTCAGAAACCGTGGACCGATACTGAAGGACTGGCTCTTCTAGACGGATTGATGCGACACGAGGGTAGGTATTACTTGATCTTCAGTCCCGCGAACTTCTCTGATTGCCCTGCTAGGACCCAGGAGATACATTTCGATCATGAAGGATTTTGGCGACAGACTAGAGGGAAGGACCATACGACAACTACGAGACAAGGCGGAAGAAGTCCACGATAACTATATACCCCAAATTCACGACGAATTACGCACGAGGGAAGGACGAGAGAAATGGCACTGGTTGCTTAGTGTGCGGGAGTAGAAGGCTTCCACCTACAGTGTAGGTAGGTATATGAAGACCGAGGTGTATACACGCGAACCATGGAACCGAGACTCCGGGACCACACATTCACGTAACAATTACCCCTGACGCGTTATTTACTACCTTCTATCGAACAATTCCCCTTATTATTATCTACGCCCCTCAATTACCCATAGAATTTCGGAGTTCTCGTCACCTCTAATCTTCTTGTTGTAGCCATACCTCCAGTGTAGGTCGTTGCCCAGAGGGGACTAGCGCCCAGGTGACCTGTTCTTTCCCCTCTTTCGTCCTTTTGCTCCTTACTCTTCTGTGTTGTCTTGCGGCCTGCGACTCTGCGTTGTTCCTGCTCTTCCCCTCAACTCGATCCTCCGTTTACTGCGTCTTCTTGCTCTGCCTAATACCTAATAATTGATATCCCCTAAATTAATCATCGCTTCCCGTTTGTTGTCCATCTTCCTTTCTGCAGCCCAAGTACGTGTTTCGTGACTGTTTAGTTTCTGGCCCGAACCCATCACCTTGAAGGACACGCCACTAACAACTCACCATTCACTCCGTGCAGGATACGACTCAACACCTAACCTGGTGCGGCTACTCGATTGAGTGTCTCAGTTTTGCAATTGGACGTCAACAACGTGGTACGGGTGAGTTGTCAATTGATTCATATTTCGGCTGCAGTCGCATTTTGGTACCCAAAGCAGAAGGGGTCGAGTCCGTCGAGTTAGCCGCTTCGGGGACATCAGGGGTAGGATCGTCTGTGATTATTGGCATACAATATCTCTTGCTTTCTCCCCGCGCAGGTCTTCTTGACCTCTGTTCTGATCTTGTCGCGCTCCTTTGTTCGCTGAATGCTGCCCTTACGGCGGTTTACCTCCGCTCAGGCTATTNTTTCACTTTTTTTTTTCTTTTTCTTTTTCCAAAGCTAATTAGGGGTTCGGTAAAGCTCTCGGACGCAATCGCAAACCATCCTTTCCAACATAATAATTCCATATACCGTCTCATATATCAACTATACGCGCAATGTCGTCTGTTGAGGAACCTGTGGCCCCCGCCCCTCCGGCCGAGGTCGAGGCCGAAGTCGGGGCCGAAGCCGAAGATATACCCCCTGCTACTCCGGTGGAATCGAGTGCTGTTTCTGGCAGCGAGGAGCCAGTGACGAGCCCAGATACTTCCAAGGATAAGGAAAATGTGAGGGCATCTCCTGCTAAGAAGACTACAGCGTCCGCCACCTCGGCGACGAAGCGTCCTGTCTCCGGAACCTCTACGACAAAGAGACCTAGCTCGATCTCTGGTCCCAAGACCGCTTCATCCACTACCCGCACTCCGGGTTCGAATGGAAGCACCCTTGGTAAACCACCCACGCGACCGACAACTACATCTGGCACTGTGCGCAAGCCTCTCAGCACGTCCACTACATCGTCGCATCGCTCTCGACCGTCACTTAGCTCCGCTGATGAGAAATCCCGCTCTGTTGCCAGTTCTGGGGACGAGAAGCGCGGAATCACCGGGTCTGCTAAACGCATGTCGCTCGCGGGCAGCACCGCCAGCACCAGAGCCCCGACGAAGTCGACAACCTCCACCTTGGATCGGCGATCCAGCGTTGCATCCACAACCGGTTCTCGTACCTCCACACTTTCCTCGACGAGGCCAACTAGCAAGTCGACAACCACCACCGCCCGTCCTACCACTACCACGACTACGCGAACCGCCACAAGACCAGCGACAACAACAACTGCCACGAAGCGGCTGAGTACGGCTCCTAAAACCTCCGAGGGAGATGCTGCCAAATTACAATCCCTTGAGGGTAAACTCACGGAGAGTGAGGCTACCATCGAGAGCTTGAAGGCCGAGCTGGAGGCTGTGAACGAGAAACTGGCGCAGGCACCGAAGACAGAAGGTGCCGACAATGAACAAGAAGACTCCTCAAAAGCTCTGCAGGACCAGCATGCTGCGGAGATTGGCCAATTGGTTGCCAGCCATGAAGAGCAACTACAAGGCTTGCGTACCCAACTTGAGGAAGCGGAAGCGAAAAGAAAAGAGATCGAAGAAAAGTCTGTCAAAGCCTTGGAAGACGCTTCCCAGTCGGCGGCCTCTCAGGGCGATGAAAAACTTTCGGCAGCTCTCGAGGAGCTGAAGCAATCTCATCAGACCCAGCTTGAAAATATCGAAAATGAACTTTCGGCGCAAAAGGCTACGGCTGCCGGTTATGCTGAGCAGATCGACTCACTCCAGGCCGAATTACAATCCAAGGCCGATGGTCTAGAAACAGCTAAAAAGGGAATCGAGACCGAGAAAGCATCGGCCCTTGAAGAACTGCGCGGGGAGCTACAGGCAGAAATTGAAAGTATTAAGCAGTCAAAAGACCAGGAAATCCGGGCGGCCGAGGAGTATACAAAACAGTCAGTAGCAAGCCTTGAAGAGAAGATCACATCGTTGCAATCTCAGCTCGCAGAGACCGAGTCCACCTCAACCCATAGCCGCGAAGAGGCGGTGGCTCAACTTGCAGAAAAGGAAAAGGAGGTAGCCGAATTGAAGCAAGCTGTCGATACTGCCCGAGCAGAACTTCAACAAGCAGGCCAGACATCCGCAAAGGAAATTGAAGATAAAATAAAAGCCCTTGAGACAGGCCATGAGGATGTTATTGCGAAGCTCAAGGCACAGCACGATGAGGCTTTGACTTCTGCTACCAAGTCCCACGCCGATGAACTTGCAACCGTAAGGGCCGCCACAGAATCTACCAGCAGCACTCATACAAAGCAGCTTGAAGAACTTCAAACCTCTCTTGACAAGGCCAAGGAGGATGCGGTAAATGAGCTGACGGCGGCCCACCAGGGCGAGTTACAGGCTCTGCAAGAGAAACTTCAGAGCACCGAAGAATCCCTCCAGAAGACTCGACAGGGCTTGGAAGAAGGCGCCAATGCTGCCCAGGCCCATGCGATTGAGGAAATCGAGTCACTCAAGGACAAGGTCAGCACCTTGGAGTCGCAGCTTTCTACTGGGCAGGATGAGATTAAGGCGCTTCAGGCTGAGGTCCAGGCTAAGCAAGAGCAGGCCGAGACTCTTCAGCAGAATCTCGTTGCCTTTGATACCAAGCTGAAGGCTAAAGACGCCGAGCAAGAAGGTGATGTGAAGGCTGCCGAAGAACGGGCAGCAGCAGCAGAAAAGGCTCTGGAGGAACAGGCCCAAAAGGCTGCTGCTCTCTCCGAGGAACACGCCAAGTCCATCGAAGCATTGAAGGCTGAGCATGCTGCCGAACTAGAGACGGCCAAGACTGATGCATCTGTATCTCATCAACAGGCGCTTGGGGAACTCCAATCCAAGCATGATGAATTACTGTCCAAATACAGTGATTTAGAGAGCTCCCACGCTGGCAAGATCGAAGCCCTCGAGACTGAGCTGAAGTCAACCATGGAAAGCATCGCATCCCAAAGTGCTGGACATGCTAAGGAGCTAGCTGACCTACAACAACAACATGAGGAGGCCAAAACTAAGCTTCAGGCGGAGCTGGAAACCACCCAAACCTCAAGGTCTGCCGAAACAGATGCAGAGCACAGTAAGGCCATCGAGGAGCTTCTCACTCTTCAGGAGTCCAAGTTGTCTGGCCTTCGCGAAGAGCTGGAATCCTCACATGAAGCTAAGCTGGCCGAGACTCGGAAAGCCCACGATGCCGCTCTTGCAGAAGTCACGACTCAGCTTACTACCGCCCAAACCGCCGCCCAAGATACCTCTGTTGTTGATGGTTTGAAGGCAACAATTGCAGAGTTCGAGAAAAAGCTGGCCGCTGCGGAGCAGTCCGTTACTGAATCCAAGGCTCAGCATGCCGCCGAAAAATCTGCCATCGAGAATGACAAGAATGAGTGGGAGCAGAAGCACCAAGCAATGATCACTCGTGTGGAAGAACTCGAAAAACTCTTAGGTTCTTCCGAGGGTACCAAGTCAGAGTTGGAGGCGGCATCAAAGCAGGCATCTTCCGCTCAGGAGGAGCTCTCGCAGCTCAAGGCCAAACATGACGCAATTACCAAAGAGCTGGACGAGTCTAGGGCGCATCACACCGCGACTGAAGAAAAGCTCGCCCAGGGAGAGAAGGATCTCACTGCGCAGATTGATAAGAACATGAGTCTCCTCAACCAGCTGGGCGAGGTCGAGTCGTCCATCTCTGGCAGTCGCAAACACGTTCGGGAGCTTGAAGCCGAACTCGCAGCGCTTAAGGCTGAGAGGGATCTTGTGAAGGGATCGAATGTGGGCCTACAAGGCAGTCGATGGGCAACTGATGAGGAGAAAGCGCCAACAAGCGAAGATGGCCAAGCAGCCGCAGCGGAAGGTGAGGACATTGGTTCATCGATCGAGGGAACGGTGGGACCTCCCGGTCTGTGATCGTCGTTGTCTCTCCTCGGAGACTTCTGTGATAGAAACTCTTACTGACCTAATTTCTTTTACGCAGATGGCCAGCATCCAGGAACAGCTTAAACACATTCGGTCGGCCAATGACGATTGGTATGATGAACATCGGCGGTAAGTGGAATCTTAGACATGCCATTCGGGATGAAATGGGGCTAACTGGTATAAGACTCGTCGGCGAACTCGCACAGGTGTCCCGGCGACCAACGCCTAACCCTCACAGTCAGTCTACAACGCCGCAGCCCGAAACACTGACAGAAGCCGTTTCTCAGTGAGAGCACTTATACGGAGTACCTGGTGTCAATCCAGGTATATTTCTTTTTCTTCCGTTATTTTTCTTTGTATTTGCCTTGTATAAGATTAGGATGTATGTAATAAAGTGCTCAGGATACCCGATTGAAGAACCGTCGCCGTGGATTGTTGCTATATGTAACCGGTATCTGGGCAATGACGAATATATTGTCTGCAAGACATTACTATAATTAACATTGGTCCGTGAGAAATTTACCGGTGTACAACTGATTAGTTAATTAGGTATAAAGCGAAAAGTCGCCGACGATGCAAGTTATCAGGATACCTTTTTCCGTGCCCACGGCCACCAGGAGGTTCGAGCAGACATGCACCGCATAAAAGTGCCTTTCCTGCGTTTCTTGTGCCATAACGATTCTTCCCTTCTCTGCTGCTGCTGGATCTCCTCATACCGTCCTGGCGTGAGAATCCCCGGTGGCGGCGAAGGAGCCCTAGGCAACGTCCACGACGTAGGATGGTAGCCATAAGCACCGACAGGTAGGGAAAGTATCTGTGACACGTCTTCTGCAGAAGGGAGATTTTTGGCAGGATCGACGTGGTCCTCATATTCCTCGCATGGTGTAGATTGGGGGAGTCGCGGAAGAGGCTGCCTAGGTATATTAAGACAGTGGACAGGCGAAGAAGTGAAGGCACGGCAGAAGGCGGCATAGTTGTCACGTAGAGCGAGGTCCTTCTTCCGCTCCTCCTCTTCTTCTTCTGCTTTTATTTCATCCCCATCTTGCTCTTGCTGTAGGTGTTGGTGGCTTCTAGGGTGGCATTGGGCGTGGTCTTGGCTGTCATCGAATGACTCGTAATCGGGGTACTCGTGATCATAATGAAAGTGCGTAAACCGAAGCTGTCCGATAAACCCAGCCTGATCTGGGGCGGTTTGGATTGTTGAAGATTGTTGCGCGTGACAAATGATACTTGGATTGGACCATTTGTTGCTGTTGTTGATGCGTTTATGGTAGTGATGGGTGAAATCCAGATCAGGGCTTGGTCGGCGGAGAAGATGCGACGAAAGCCATCGTTTTAATTTGTGTGTGGAGGGAGTTCGAGAGGGTGAACGACCGGAGACTGGGTCAGAAGAGAACGAGGAGGATGTGCTGGTTGAAAAAGAGGAGGATGAGAATGAGCGGCTGCAGAAAGAGCGTGGCATCTTAGCTATCTATTGTTTAACTCTGTGGGATAGAGAGAGAGAGAGAGAGAGAGAGAGAGAGAGAGAGAGAAACGAGAAGAGAGGGCATGGAGGGGGAAGATGAGGTCCATTAGACGAGAGCAAGACCAGTCGGGAATGAAATGGAATGGAAGAAACGACATGAACGAGTGGGAGAGTGTCGGATAGTATTTCGGAGCGAACCCAGACACCAGTAGAGAGCGAGAATTCCCCCATTGAGGTGACACGGAAAAAGCATGGACGTCTGCGCCCTCTCGTGGTCGACGGTGTCTTACGGGTTGTGCTTTTTCAGGGTGCAGTTCATGTAGGGTCCAGTGACCGTTGAGATCCTACATGTGAGGGCCGAGCTGTACGACGCGGACGGGGGCATGAGACTGTTGCTTTGATGGTGTTAGGTATAGTAGCATGGGGCTGTTGTTGTACATGGCCTGGGACGGACAGGAGTAGTACTTGTCTGACGTGTTCAAGAAGCTGTTTTCCTTCTTTTCTTTCTCCTTTTTTTTATCATCATCATCATCACCAGGAGGGGAAGTGAGACATTGGCTCTACCGTATTGGGATTTGAGGGCTGCAGAGGATAGTGAGCGCCGTCGACCAGTAGTAGTCAATAGTCAAGATTCGTACAGTGACAATTGGCTATAAATATCGCCGACGGGTGCAACTTCCTCCGGGACACTCCGTCGAGACGGGAGTAATAATATGAATGAATGGCATGCGAATGCTTTGTCGGTTCTTATGTGTCTTGTGTCTACACTACTGTACCATCCCTGCTGTTGATCTTATCATTTGCATGACGATCAAGAGCGGTATTACTGAGCATGAGCTTTGTACGCTTGTGTCCGGAATGAGTCCGGCTGGAGGAATCTCTTGATTTATTCAACCTTGGGAGCGTACTTATATATGCAGATTATGCAGTTTGAACCCTTAATCATGGAAGACATTAATATGTTTGGTAGTCTATATTTTACTATGGGTATATAATACAGAATGGCCGCAGCCATTAACCTGAAATTCCATCACGACCGAGTCCCCACCGGCCGACTTCACGCATCGCTTCATCTCCTCCCTCAACAAGACGACCGTTGGCGTTGGACGGGTTGTGCGCCCCCAGGACACCGGCAACGCATTCCCAGCCGTTACGCCCGCCGCCCCATCGGAGAACCTCGTTTTTGTACCGTTCACCCGCGGAGCGGTCAACAGCAGCGGCACCCCCCTCGAACACGTCTTCCCACATCTTATTGGCGATTGCTCGATCGAAGATGTAGCTGTAGTACGTGGCGCCGTACCCATACAAGTGTCCAAAGAACCCTTGCCATGAGGTCGAGGGGCGACCATGCTGGTCAACGGGGTCTGGCAGGCTGGCGTGTGTTGAGTATACTTGCTGATAAAGTTTTGTGGTGTCGAGGAAGGAGTTTCCAGAGGTGGTTGTGTGGTAGGCTTGATCGACGAGTGCCATTAGAATCTGGGCTTCGTTTTCCACAGCACCATATATTGCGCCGTGGGCGTCTCGGTTCTGTGCCATGTGATGGACCATGTTCTCGGATAGAGGTTGGTCGGTTTGCCAGTGGCGAGCATACAGAGCGAGGACGGACGGATCGGTGGCGAAGCGCTCCATCAGCACCGATGGCAGTTCGGCGAAGTCGGTTGCGCAGCGTGTGCCTGATATAGACTGCAGTTTCGTCTGGCCTAAAATAGAGTGTAGTGCGTGTCCCATCTCGTGGAAAAGGGTGCGCACGCTATGCTCACTCAAAAGTGTGGGTGTGGGGGACGAAGGCTCGGGGAAATCACACACGAGAGCAATGGTTGGCAGCTGGCGAAGTGTTTGGGATTCTGTGTCAATAGTAGTCGCCATGCCATCGTTCGGATGTGCGACGAACGCCGGATCGTCCATCGCTGCGGATTCTGCGATCTCTTCCGGGGTGATTTCTCGTGCACATCGCAAGGTGAAGTGGGCCGGGTTAGGATGTTTATTGGGGCGAGAAAATAGGTCGCAATATATGACGGCAAGCGGTCGGTTCTCCTCGTCCACTACATCCAGGCGGCGGACGTCGGATGTCCAAGTCTCCCCTGGTGCCGTCTCACGGGGAACTAGACGAACGCCGTAAAGGCGATCGAACAAACGCGACAACCCCTGCATGACTGTTCCCAAAGAGAAAAATTCAGGGATGATGGCCAATTCGCGTGACTTGCGAATTTGCTGGGAATTCTCATACTGTTGTACTCGGCGGTGGACATAGTATGCGTGGTCCCAGGGCTGCAGCTGGCCTCCCTTTTGAGACTGAAGCTGGGCTAGCTCCTCTTGTACATCCGGACGGTTGCTCGTTATGAGCGTGGTTAGAAATTCCGATACGGCGGCAGGGCTTCTGGCCATCTTGTCCTTGAGTGTCATATGAGCGAATGTGGGAAACCCTGCGAGCTGAGCTAGCTCTGTGCGTTTTGACAGCAACTGTTCGAGGCGCTGAACCTGGCGCGAGCTGGAAGTGCGTGTGGCCTGGTATATCTCGCGACGGACGTCCTCACTGTGAGCGGAACGTAGGGCTAGGCGCGGGATCAGCCCGACGGTAGGGACAGCGGCGGAACGGGGATTCCATCGCTTGATTTGCTTGATCAGGATGGGATCTAGACCACGAAGCTCGTTTGTGGGCACTACGACATGTGAGCGTGCTGGCTCTGCACTATGAGCGAATGTCGACCCAAGCTGGCTGATGTCGTTGGAGAGACTGACGAAGCGCTGGCGCTCATGCGGGGGCATATGAATTGCGGAGTTGGCAAAGTCCTGGAGCAGGATACGGGCCACGATGGTCTCTTCGGAGGTCCAATGGGACGTGACCTCTGGCTGAGCCAGCGCCGCGCGCAACTGATCATGTAGGCCGGTGGTGGTGTTGAGTACGTTCATGTACTCGAACATCAAAGCATATGCTTGGCCCGCTGCCTCTTGGACGGGCGGGTCCGGGTGGGAGGCCCGGATGAAGTCGGACAAATCAATGACGCGACACAGCAGGTCGCTCAGTCGGTCCAACTGACGCACTAGGCCCCGGTATTCATCGACCGTTGATGCGGAAAGTACTCGGTTGACTATGGCCTGGCATTTCTGTAGCGACACTTGCGCGAAGGCGCGAAATCCGTCGGGGCTAGTCAGGTACTGATTTTGAACGAGACCGGTCGGCTTTCGGTCCGGAGAGAAGGATGACGAGGCGGAGAAATCGCGCCAAAACGGCTGGGAATCGAAGACTCGACGGAGGATATCATCGTCGGGTCTTTTGGAGGGCGAGGAATGGACAGGGGTGGCAGACGCAGAGGCTGGTCGGAGAGCGGAGGTAGTGATGGAGCGACGGTGCAGGCGTGGTTGCAGTCGACAAGTGCGACAGATCCACGGTCGCAGCATATTAATCTGGATTAGCTGTAGAGTACATTAGAGAAAAGAGAAAAGAAAAGAAAACCAAACGTCCTTGATGGGAGAGAGTGGCCGAGTATGAATGAACTAAGACGAACAACCGACTGCGGCCGAGAAAAAACTTGGCACTTTTCTTCGGACCTTCATTTCATCATCTCAACCTCTCCTCCTTCCTAGACCTCCACCAATTGCCCATATCATGGCCATGTACCAGGTATTTACCCATTATTCCCGCCAGGCTCACCACGCCCAAGTAATCCTGCTAACCAATTGCCTTTCTAGCGACTCTCTGCGTCTCTGTTGGCCGGAGCTGTGGCTCTGTATCCCCGGCAAGCTCATGCCGAGCAGCCCGTATGTCCCAGAGCTAGACCTTGCTTCAGCCTTCAAGGCCCAGGCAGCTCAGTTTGCTAACTACAACAGAGAAAACCCATCTACGATGAATTCCCCTCTGAATCTGCCGTCTCCCTTGCCCCGTCCACACCAGCTCCCGAACCCACAGCCGCTACAACTCCCGAACCTTCAAGCATCACGACAGCTCTGACAGCCACCAAATCTCCCTCGTCTCCGACGCCGACCGATCTCCTGACAGCCCAGGTCCGACATGCTCGTGTCTTCCTCTACGAGCAGTCGCGTGCCGCCGAGGTTGGTTTCAACAATGTCCTCTCCCGTGTCCTCCACGTCGAGAACGCCTTTACCGATACCATCGCCTCCTTGGCGCCCTCCCCGGAATCCGGAGAGAAGCTGACTCCCGGCGGCATTTACGTCGTTGTTGCTGCCATGGCTGGATCAATTGTTGCCCGTAACCGCGGCCGTTTCCTGCGTGGCACCACCCCCTTGGCATTCGGTACCATTGCGGCCTGGTCTCTCCTCCCTGTTACCATGCGGAATGTCTCTGACTTGGTCTGGGAGTATGAGAAACGTGTGCCTGCGGTGGCAGACAACCACTTGTACCTTCGGGAACGGGCAGAGCAGATCTGGAGCACCGGTGTGGCTCACAGTGGTATGGCACGTGCCACGATGGAGGAGAAGATCGGGGACGCTCGGAAGAAGCTGGAAGAAATTGTGAGCAAGGGACACTAAATAGACCTTTATCTATGCTCTCCTTATATTCCTTTGGTTTGTTTGTTTCGCTTATCTACGTCTTGATAGCGGTTGGGCCCGTGCCCTATAGCGCACATGTAACTGTAAGAGGTTTCCGATGAACAGGTTCTAGACAGTTCACTTTCTTTTGTACTATTGATATAAAACTAGAACGCCAAAAAAACACCTGTTGCAAGTCATAACAACGTCTCTTCTATTCTGATCCCTTTTCTTCTTGGGGTGGTCCACCAGCTTTGGGGGGCGGAGGTAGCGGGGTGCCCCTCCGTGATGGTACATGATCTTGCTCCTTGCTCTTCTGTTCACCCTCTGCGAAATAATCATCGAATGCCCTATGCGGTGATGCCCTGGCCCCACGCGCCTTCTTTCCATGGTGCGATACCTGGGGAGCCGAGTCCGCAGATGCCAATGGCGGAGGTGATTTCATATTCGCAGGAACAAGGAACTGTTGTGGGGGTGCAGGAATTCCAGAGTCTACATTCGTAGGAAATAACGCAGGCTCAGGAACAGGTGTCGACGATCCGTCAGCACGCGTTTCGAACACTACCTCTCCCGGCCCCTCGACCTCTTCTCCCAATCCAACCGGCAATCGGTGCAAGGCTCCATAACCCAGCTCCGCTCCCAGTGCACCCTCGCCACCCCAGCCTCGTGTGGGCACAAGATCGACTGTGCGCACCACATCGAACTCGCTGTTGTAGACCCATAGCACCAAAGTACGGTCCAAGTGGTCTTCAACAAGTTCTCCTAGTGCCGATTCCCCTCGTAATGTTCCGCTCGGCGTGCCGATAATATAATCGGAGTGCGGTAGAAGGCCAGCTCTGTAAGCCGGGCTTAGAGGGGACGGGATATTGAGCACATGCCAGATGTGTTGTGTGGATGACAGCGGGGCTAGTTGGAGTGCGAGGCCAAGGGTTGGATTGGACGGGGGAACGACGATGGATATCGTATGCGTTCGTTGTCCCTATGTGTCGTAGACAGTCAACATATCGTCTCTAAGTAGATTCAAAGGGTTTGGAGTTCCACAGGAATGACCGCGTACCTTTGCGCTCCAAACTGCAAACGTAACTCGAGATCCGGCACAATTGCGCACTTCCGTTGCGAAAAGGTTTGGGTCAGGGTCATCCTATAGAAATCAGATAATGCGATTGAGATAGCCCAGGGATATAGTAAGCAACGCACGATTAAACGCCCGTTTATCCCAATAATGAAATCGAACCAAGGCTCGAGCGGTACTTCGGAGTCTTTGTTGCGGAGGACTTGAAATCCGAAGGCATTGTCGGCCCGTGACTGCTGGGAACTGGGTTCTGAGTCTAGCCGGCCAATAAATCTATTGAGAGCTCCGAACATTTTGAGACTTCTTTGAGAGTCAAGCGAGGAGTGGAATGCAGGGGAAACCAGACAGCCATAGCCGGGGTGAAGCTGTCCTCAGTGCGGAGATGCAAACAAAACAAACCCGCGTTATCAGTAGATTTCAAAATGCGGCAGCGATGCATCGCGATCCGGGACCAGAGGAAACGAAGAACCTCTCTTCTCCCCGCCTTTCATTCATGTCTTGATCACGATTGAGCCACCATGTCTGGTGATGAAGAACCCCCTCCAGAAGTCCATCATTACGAGGATCGTGGTCAGGTGCCCTGGGACATTCAGAAGTATGCTTCCCTGATGGGTTCTTTTCCTTATCGCAGAGCGCCCAACTGACTCTTTTTTACAGTTACTGGTCCCAGCGCTACGATCTATTCTCCAAGTATGATGATGGTGTTTGGCTGACTGATGATGCGTGGTTCGGCGTTACTCCAGAACCGGTGGCTACGTATGTGAATCCCTGCGAAATACGCAGTGCTAAGATGACGAATGCTCTAACCTCTGTTATCTACGTGCAGAAAAATTGCCGACCAAATTGCCAGCTCTGCACCGCCAGATCGAAAGGTTCTAGTAGATGCTTTCGCTGGTGCTGGGGGAAATACCATAGCTTTCGCGCTGTCCGGGCATTGGAAACGAGTCTATGCCATTGAGAAAGACCCCGCGGTGTTGCGATGCGCCCAACACAATGCGAAGGTCTACGGCGTCGCGGATAAAATTACCTGGTTTCAAGGTGACTGCTTTGAGATCATCAAGTCGCAGTTGAAGGACTTGGCACCGTATAGCGTGCTCTTTGCGAGCCCACCTTGGGGAGGTACGTTCTTGTTTTCATTAACCAATCCCGCGACCTATTATCTTATTGTGAGTTCTTCAATGACTCACTCATTCTTTCGTCATTAGGGCCCGGGTATCGATCTGCCTCCGTATTCGATCTTCGGACAATGGAACCATATTCCTTGAACACACTCTATATGGAATTCTCTCTCTTCACACCCTATGTGATCCTTTACTTGCCACGAACATCGGATCTGAATCAGCTGGCTGGGATGGTTAAAAATGATTCGCCTGCTCCTGTAATGCACTATTGTATGAGAGGGGCAAGCAAAGCGTTGTGTATTTTCTATGGAGGCTTTCAACTTTTCTAATAATTCCACACTTTATATTTCCCTTCCACCAAATGTAACCTATCGCTTGCAACCTTCTCCCATATTTATATTTAGAGGGAATCCCTATCGAATGACTGAAAGCACTTCATTGTGTACAAGTGTGGACGGCCCGGACAATAAGCTGATTGCCTTATTCGGACTAGCGCCCCGCCCTATCTTCACGTGTTCCGCTCATTCATTTGCATCTCTCCTCAGTGACTCCTACTTATTGTGAAGGTCTTTCTCCTCTCTTTGCTGACACCATCCCGACCATTTCCTCTCACTGTGTCTTTAACACTTTCTAATATTCCTCACAGAGCGATGGTGCTGAACCTCTATTTCTAACCGTTGGAGCCTGCGCCGCGTATGCTGGATCTGTACGCGAGATCTCTGTGTTAACACCGATTCGATTCTTCCAGTTGGCCACCATCTGGTGTTGCCGCTTGTGTTCACCTGGCGCAGGCACCATATCTGGCATCTCATCTAGTTATATTTAGCACTTATTCAATATGCCACACGCAACGGCCTCACCGGGCGGCGCCGAAGCCGACGATGCTGACTTCGACAATGTTATGCGACAGATGAACGGGCCCATGGCGGAGGGTGGCATGTCCTTTGATTTCCTATCTCGAGAACTGGAACCCGGTGAGAAAGCGGATGATGCGATAGATTACGAGGATTTTGATGACGACGAACTCCCCGAGGAAGAGGAACATGACGCGCGTGCGACAGCGGAAGACGGCCTTGATATCCCACAAACGTCGGATGATGCCCTTTTCGGTGGCGGTGGAGATGATTTATTTGAAACAGCCGAAAAACACGATCAAGCCCAACCCGATGAACTCGATGATTTGTTTGGGGAAGCCCCTGCATCACCACGCCAGGACCAAGTGGACGAGACCAGAGATTTGTTTTTCGAGGAGGATGAGCGTCCTGCGGTACCTGATGGGGCAGATGGCATGCAACTGGACGATGACGAGGAATCATTACCAGAGGATGGCACACTCCCTGCCATTACAGATGATATGGATCCCGCCTCCCTACGCGCGTGGAAGTTACAACAGGCTCTTTTTGCGATGTCGAATGTCGGCGGTCCTGAAAACCCTCCGGCCCCCCCCGAGAATGTCGAAGAACTCCTCCATTCGTTATTTCCTATGTTCGAGCGAAACACCCTGCCGCGCTTCCTCGAGTTGATCCCGCATAAAAAGGCATATTTTATTGGCAAGCAGCCCTTGAAACCACCAAAGTCCGTCTTACCAGGGAAAGTAAATATTGAACTGGCACAGGACCAGGAGAAAACATTCAAGTCCGGAGGGCAAGCCTACAAACGTTCGTTGGAAGCCGAACAGTATGGTATCGTTCCGGTGGCTGAAGCATCGCAAGAAGAGGAAGAAGAGGAGGAGGTTCGAGATGATCTCGATTTTGATTATGAATCTGACGAACCGCTTCCTGGTGGTGTCACGGCAGATGATCTTCGTGTCGTCTGCGCTGACTGGGATGTCAAAGATGACATCTCCATCATGGATGTTGACGAGCCTGCAGTTGAGGAGAATGACGAGGACGATTGGCTTTTTGAAACAACTCGACCAGCGAAGAAACGTAAACTCGGACGTGATCCGATGGAAATTGTTTCTTTGTCACATATCGACATGCCTCTCCTTGATGACCCGGAGCAAGCTAGCGCCCGAGCTGCGCAAAAAGTCACCTTGGATCTAAACGACCCACATATACTGCTTGATGAGCGTGGTCCTGATACTGCTGCCTCAAAACCTAGGGCGTCCGGCGCTCGTGGTAGAGAAGACATGGATATTAATATCACTCGTCGTCTCACGTCGAGATACAATATTTCCAATGATCAGGCCTATGACATGCTGAAACAGAATCATCAGAACAAGGTTCGCAGTACTTTGGGCAACGTCACGCTGGAACATAGTATGCCAGCATTACGCTTGCAGTGGCCCTATTACAAGACTGAGCTGGCCAAGGCCGAGGCGAGATCTTTCCACCGCCCGGCGTTGTCCTTCCGACCTGGCCAGACATGCTGGTTCAAGAATCCGGCTTATGTCAAACGCAAGCATCAAAAGGGCAAAGATATCCGCCAGCTTTACGACTCAACCAAAGCGCTTTCTATGGCGGACAATTCCCACGTCCTCTTAGTTGAGTATTCTGAGGAAGTGCCGCTGGCTTTGTCCAACTTTGGGATGTCAAACCGCATTATCAACTACTACAGGAGGAAAAACATGGAAGATCCTACTCGCCCGAAAGCTGAGATTGGAGAAACGGCGGTGCTTCTGCCTCAGGACAAGAGTCCTTTCTCTATATTTGGACATGTTGATCCGGGAGAGATCGCGCCCGCTATCTCGAACTCCATGTATCGTGCCCCACTCTTTCCACACCAAGCGAAATCTACGGATTTCCTTGTTGTCCGCAGTAGCACTGGCTCGGGTGGCAGTGACTACTATCTGCGCAATATTGACAATATGTTTGTTGCGGGGCAACAGTTTCCCTCTGTCGATATTCCTGGCCCGCACTCCCGAAAGGTCACCACGGTTGCAAAGAATCGGATGAAGATGCTTGTCTACCGTCTGTTGAAGAAAAGCCCTGACCTCCGGCTGTCCATTAGTGACGTTACCGCGCATATACCTGGTACGAGTGACATGCAGAATCGTCAAAAGGTCAAGGATTTTCTTCAGCACGATAAAGACACGAAGTATTGGGTGCCCTTGGAACCGGTGCCGGAGCAGGATACCATTCGATCATGGGTGCAGCCTGAAGATGTTTGTCTGCTCGAGGCAATGCAAGTCGGCCAGCAGCACTTGTACGATACTGGGTACGGCAATGATGCTGAGACGGGAGGTGACGATGACAATGACGAAGAGTCCGAGAGTTTCGAGCAGCAGATGGCACCATGGAAGGCTAGTCGTAATTTCTTGCTAGCATCGCAAGGCAAAGCTATGCTTACGCTACATGGCGAGGGTGATCCGACTCGGCGTGGAGAAGGGTTCAGTTTCATCAAGACATCAATGAAAGGAGGATTCAAGGCTATCGGTGAGAGTGTGGAAGACAAACTGGACGCGCAACGCTTGAAGGAGCTTGGTGGTCACAGCTATAACGTTGCACGACAACAGAAGTCCTATGAAACGTCCATTCGACGAATTTGGGACGCCCAGAAAGCTAGCCTATCCTCCACCATCGAACATTCAGACTATGATGACATGTCCGAGGAGGAGGGAGATGATTTCAATAAGCCCACCCCGAGATCAGAGGCTCAGACCCCTGCCCCTGTTCGCCGTGATGATGAGACGACCAGTCAGTTCAGTAAAATGAGCCGCCTGAGTTTGTCAGATCAAAAGGGTAAAGTTCTGCGCATCGTTCGCCAGGTTAAGGATATGGATGGGGTTCATCAGAAAGAGACGGTGGTTTCGGATCCTCGAGTGATTCGCCACTACCTACAACATCGCCATCGGGTTGAGTCACTGACCACGAAGTAAGTCATTACCGCCCGTGACCAAGGAATGTTTAGCTAATGACCATTAGACTTGATTCTCTAAAGCCAACTGGTGACCCTGAGGTGGATGCCCGTAACAAGAAACTGTATGCTTATTATACTTCAAACTCTCCCAAACCCTTACCACATCAGATGACCTCTAACTATACGCAGGCTCGAACAAGAACTAAGTCGACTCAATCGCAACAAAGAGCGTCGATTCGCTCGCGAAAAACAGAAAGGTGTTATTCGCACTGCGGACTCCCCTGCGGACGGGGGCCCAGGATCCTCAAAGTCTGCTGGCACGCAGCGGAAGTGTGCCAACTGCGGCCAAGTCGGTCACATCAAGACAAACAAAAAGTGCGTATACAACCGTCGCTCCCTCTCCGCTTCGGCGGACGATGGAATCTCTACTTCCCCTGACACCACTGAGTCGTTCTTTACACCTGCCTCGCTCGACACCTACACTTCCTCGTTTTGACTCCTTTCTCCCACCCCTCCCACACTACTGGTTCTTCTGCTATTCAAATGCGAACAAAACCACTCATCCACTATACTACTCCATTCTATACAAGCCACAACCACCCGCGATTTGAACCTCATTTCCCTTACGTTGGACCCATCTGCGACCCAAACTCTACTTTTTCCTCCAAGGCTAACAATTCGATTCACTTCGTGCAACAGGCTTTGTCCTCTTCTGAACGGAACGATGAAACCCGAAGATCGTGTCAGCGATTCAGCGTTCGCTATGGGGGCCCCTCCCGCTATCTAGAAAAAGGAAGACAATATTTGCTATTCTCGCGTTCTGTGTACTACAATGATACCCCGCTGTGGTTGGTGTGGTCGTGTTTACGGTTACCAATTGCCTGATTTGCATTTGCTCGACTGTAAAACTTGACAGTTTTTATATATCTGGATTTCAGCCAACACGAAAACGAAGTCGCTAAACTGGAACTTATCATAATACACTTAAGCAAATGTAAACGTAATTCTAGGTTAAAATTATCTTGTTATGTTCTGTTCATGTAAGGATTTTTCTTCGAATAAGGATAGTGTACATTGCCGTTGTGGCTATCATGGTCAGTGGCTACAACGCTCGCTCGCGTTGGAGCTCTGCGAAGTAAAATCGATCTCCAAATACAAGCCATATTGAGATTCCACAGTGTAACTTCCCTCGAAACTCATTACCCATACAATTCCGATAACTGGCCCCTTGAGATAAAGGGCCGGCCCCTCTCTGGGGTAAAGGCCATAATCACTCCTTTCGGGCGACGGTAGGTGTATCCAAGAAATGCCCCTCTCTTGCGCATTTCAAGCGCCGTCTTACGAAGTCGCCTGTCTCGTAGGATTTTGTCTCGAGGCCGTTTTGATTCCTTGTTTCTCTTCTTTGCCTTCGTAGGAGGATTCGCGGCATTGTCGCGGTCTTTTCCATCTTTGCCCGTTGGGCGCCAATCGGGATTCAAGTCTTTCTTTGCAGATTGTCCAGGCTTGCCATTTCCATCATGCTGGACGTTGTCGTCATTGCCCAGCTCAGTTTCGGAGTCAGTGGACCCACCGTCGTGATCCGTGGGATAGTCACCATCTTCGAAGTACCGTGTATCTTCCCATCCTCTGACCTTCGGGACAAACGGCGGAGACATGCGGTGGATCTCGTCCCAGTTAATTCCACGGAAAAATGGATGGGACTTGATATCGGATGCATCGTTGGGATAAACGTAATGACCTTTGTAGTTTTGATTGGACCCGCCAGGCTTATAGAAGAAACACTTTGATGCTCGGGATGTGAGGACATCGTTTGTTTTATATTTGCTTGAAGACAAGCGAATATCTTTCTCCTGGAGAAGTGAGTTTATAACATCTATTGCCTCCGCAGATACGAGCTTATCGGTCGGTCGGTGCACAGGAAAATATAACGTTTGCAAATGATGCTTTTATATCAGCCGTCCGTAAGGTGCAGCAAAGGACAGAATTATAACTCACATGGATCTTCATCTTCGTCCTATGGCGATCTTCAGATGCAAATGGGGTGAAGCCATACAAGCACTATTGGAGTCAGTTGGACGGCTGGACATGCTAGTGGAATAACTAAGTGTTGGTGTAGTATATGGCCTTACTTCATACAAAATGATTCCAGTACTCCACCAATCACATCGACCGTCGTACGGTTGGCCTCGAATGACCTCTGGCGCCATATACTGACTTGTTCCAACAACGCTCCTCGCCATCCGACGTTTTTGATTCTTGTCGCGCCAACCCAGCAGGCCGTTGGTAGGAGGGTGTATCCAGTCGTCCTCAAAACTCCCGTTTTCACGATCCGTACTCGGAGGTTTCTTTGATCCTTCATGCGATGCCTTCTGATCTTCTGTATCCCCGTTCACTTGAATTCCCAGTCTTTTAAGTAAAGAGTGTCGTTGATATGTAAAATACCACTGGTCGTGAGCCCAGTGCCCATCAAAGGCAAGGCCAAAGTCAGAGATCATCAAATGGCCGGAGGCTGAAATGAGAAAGTTGTCAGGTTTCACATCGCGATGGATCCAATGAAGTCGATGTGCTTCTTCTATGCACAGAATCATCTCTGCGACATACCATCGGGCAATGTCCTCGGCTAGGATGTTGTGACGCATCAATAGGCCGAGAAAATCACCCCCGACCATGTAGTCCATCACCAAGTACAGATAACTATTGTCTTGAAAACTTGCAATCAAAGGAACAATCCAGCGAGATTTAGCAGACGCCACTAAGAAATCTCTCTCTGCACGGAGGTGTCGTTCCTGGCTGTTTCGAATCATAACCGACTTTCTAATGACTTTCATAGCAAAAACGTCCTTCTTCACCCCAGTCATTGGCTGACGATGATTGGTTTTGGGGTTATGCCGGCCAGAATGGGTCTTCTCTGAAGCCTGCTTCTGACGACCCTTGGATTCTTCAGTGGACGGTAGACTCGAAGTGATATCCGATACCTTTTCCCTTACTAGGCGAACAACACCAAAGCTTCCTCTTCCCAGGACTTTGATAACTTCAAACCCGGCAAGTGACGGGGTTTGGTCGCGGGGGCCTTTACAAGGCGAACGGCTCTTTAGAACCCGGCATTGGCGAAGGTAATCCTGCTCTTGGGAAATCCATTGCTTTTTGACCTTTATCCTCTCTTCAGGACTCAAGGGCAGGGACGTGATATACTGATCGAGTTCCAACTGACGTTGGGTTCGCGTGTCCACCCCGGAATATAGTGAGTGAAAATATGTTTCAAAGAATATCTTTGCGCTAGCCGCGGCTTCGGCCGTCAGAATAGAAGGTGGTGCAACCGGTGATTCCCTGACCGGACTAAGAGGACTTTCCTTTAAGTTAGGATGGGATGCATGACTAAAGTTTCTAGGCTGGTCGCTACTGGTATCTCTTGATCGTCCTGAGCTTCTGCGAGAAACTGAAGTTGGGTCTGTAGACAAACTGTCGACCGGAGAGCCTTTCGTACTCGGTGTCGACGAATCGGAACTTTCGTTGGGATTGATATTGGGGGGCGGGTTTACCGACGTCTTGAAGTGGGGGGCCTGCACGCTCGGGCGTCGATTGAGATGCGAACGATGGATGACAGTAGGACTACCGAATGTCGTGGATAATTTGAGTGAAACGATTCTGGCAAGCTCAACAGGGGTCGACTGGCTTCGCTTCAAGTCAATGACTATGGGAGACGTAATAATTTCATCCGTTGGCTGCTGGTCCTCATGCTTCTTCATCCGAACAGTGTTCACTGGTGATCCTGGCCGGTTTGGTATAGCCACATTTGAGGCATCGAGGTGATTACTGTGAGAATCGAAGATACCCAGATGTTGAATGTCTTCAGTTTCTGATAAACCACTTCCTGTGTCGGTACAGTTTGCTGGTTTGACAACTGGAAAAGGTGGACAAGTCAGCAGGAGGCACAGACGCTTTGTACATCATAGGCTTGCCTGGAATGGGACTTCGAAGGCCTAGAAGCGAAAGTAGACGGGAGCTTCGCTGTTGGATGCGGACTCTTATCCTGTCCTTGCCAGGTGGCCGCCCTCCAGCAGCAGTATCCAGTCCCAGCCCCTCAGACAAAGCCGATCCAGTCGTTAATTGTCCGAAAACACCATGATTCAGGAAATTTGAGCTGCTTGGCTTTAGCGGGCGCCGTCCATTGTTTCCCTGGTCCCCGGACATGGCGTGAAAGACGGGGAAGGGTGTCCCAATACCCTATGTAAAGGGCGATTAAAGAATAAACATAGAATAGTTCAATTGATGTATCAAACGACGGGCGGAGGCAGAGTTGAGCGGATATGAAGATGGCTGTTTAACGGGGATTGCGATGGAGAAATTACGTTGAAGAGAGTGCAAAGTGAAAGTAGAAAGTGCGATGCGACCCGGGGTAGCCACCACCTTCCAGCTACTACATAGGTAGGAATGTTTTCTTAAGAGCCAGGTGAAGAATTCGTGGAATAATAATTATGATTGCATAACACCTATAACACCATTTTTGAGACAGGCGATAACAACATGGAAGCTAAGACAAAAAAGAGATATGGCCGTATAAACACGTACGCTTACACCAACTCTTAGAAGGAGCGGGCCTATACGCCGAGAAAACTCACTCAATGACGCATCTCGTTTATTTGATCTCCAAAAGTTTGACATCGAAGATCAACTTTGAGTTACCTGGGATGCCAGGAAGGCTCTTCTTGCCGTAAGCGAGCTGAGGAGGAATTGTGATGCGGCGCTCGCCACCAACTGACATGCCAGCAACACCAATATCCCAGCCCTTGATGACTTCACCTTTGCCGAGTTTGAACGAGAAAGGCTTGCCCTTTTTGTTGGCTGCATCGTATCAATGTTAACGGATATTCAATCGACCAAACAATAGTAAATTAGGGGTACTTACAGTCGAAGACCTTGCCATTCTCGAGCTTACCGATGTAGCGCATGGCGACGGTATTTCCGGAAGCAGCAGCAGATCCCTTCCCGAGCTTCTTGTCATCAAGAGTCACTCCCTTGACCTCCTTGACACCCAGGGTGCCGGTGGCTTTTTCAGCAGGCTTCTTATCCTTGGAAGGCGTCGGACCCTGCTCAAGGTTCTTGGCGAACTGGACCTTCTTGGTCTCCTTGGGCTCGGGCTTTTCCTCAACGGTGGAAGCCTCGCCGTTGTTCTTCTTGAGCTTCTTCTGCTGCTTCTTGGTCTCGCCGTTGGTATCGGATTTTCCCTTGTTATCCTTAGCGATCAAGTCCTCTAGGGCAGCTTCCTCTGCAGCGCGCTTCTTCTTGCCCTTGGCGTCGACTAGCTTGGGGGCCTCTTCGTCGCTATCAACCTCGGTGATTCTGGGGTTTTCCAGATCATCAAGATCATCGCTCTCATCATCCTCACCCATCATGAGCTCATCCATATCGAGCTCGTCCTCATCGGGGGAGAGATCATAATCGTCCTCATCGTCGTCATCCTCATCATCGGAGTGAGAGTGGGGCTCATCGAGAGGCATGACATAGTTACCGGTGAGATAGATGGTGTGGGTTCCAGTGACCTTGAAGAAGACGCGCTCACCTTCAGCCACGGTAATGTCGAGGGGTTGCTGGTAATTCTGTGAATGTACTGTTAATATGGCCCTGTGGACTTGGGGGGGGGGCGAAAATGACATACTCTCTCGGGGTCAAGAGTGCAGACGACCATCTCATCAAGTTCCAGGCCCTCATCAGATTCGCTGTCCTCATCGTCGTCATCCGTGGCAGGAGCCTTGCCCTTGACGAGCTTTGAAATGGCAGCCTTAAGGTCAAACTCTTCACCATCATCAGACTCATCATCCTCATCCATAGCCTCCTCCAATTCTTTCAGATAGGCAGCCTCCTTAAGCTTGCGGGCCTTCTCCTTGTCGCTGGGGCCTCCGTTGAGCTCCTCATCATCCTCGGAATCTTCTTCGTCATCTTCGTAGTCGTCTTCGGAGTCTTCATCAAGATCCAAGTCGGGGGGTGGGCGGATGATCTTGAGAGTCGCTCTAGGACGGCGAGTGTTGTCATCGTCAAACTCGGGGGTCTCATCGGGGTCAATGGCGGCCATGCTCACCCGGAACTGAGCACTGTCAGCTTGGTTCAATTTCGATCTATTGGGACAATTAGACGTACCATGGCGGCGGCATCGGGAACCGCAGGGATCAAAGCGCCATCAGCGGGCACCTTGAGGGCATATACTGCGACAGGCTGAACTCCAGACATATTGGACGCGCTCAAAGATTATAGTAAAATAAAACACAATTGGTAGCACAAATGCTCTATAATAGTGAAGGAACGATTGTCTAGATGCGGAGAAAGAGAGATAAATTCAACTAGAAGCGACGTCCTCAAGTTCAGGCAAGCACAATCATAAACCTCAACGGCCGAAATAGAAGAGAAGGATGTACGGACGAAGAAAAGAGAAGAGGAAGACCGAGAGAAACAAATCTGCATGCGCAACTTTTTACGGCGGCTCCATTTTTCTCCATTTTTCTTTAGTTTTTTTCGCCGTTTCAACTATCTATCCAATAATATGCGATTCTGCTACTTACCGCCTTTATCCACCACCAGTGACCGCCTTCGCACCGGACAACCACATCACATGATCTCGCACCATCTTCGCGTCTCTTGCTTGAAAGCCGAGGAGGCATCGATATCGAGAGGGAGATGCTTACAACCCCTTCGAGATATTCTTCACGCGAGTGTCGACCGCTTATGAGCTATAAATATCATGAACTAGCGCTACCTAGCCCATCATGGGCTCTCGCTTAGATGCATCCTCTAGCGCAGTGCGCAAGCGGATTCAAAGCCGTATGTATACTTCCCACGCCACCATCACTAATGAGGACGACTTGCCAACACTTTTTCGCAACCAGATAGCTTCGACGATGAAGAAGGCGAAGAGTATGGCGCCTCTACCTTTGGCGGATTTGGTGATTATATGCGTCGCAAAAAGGCCAAGCTCCAAAACCTCGACAATGATATCCGGTCATCCGCCGCAGCGGACAACTGCCCCCAGATTTTTCGGTCCGTTGTCGCATGTGTGAACGGCTATACTCAGCCATCACTTCAAGATCTTCACAAGCTCATCGTGCGTCATGGCGGTGGCTTCCTCCAATACCTCGATGGCAAGACCTCCGCCACCCATATCATAGCGAGCTCGCTCACACCAAAGAAAAGGGAGGAGTTTCGGCGGTACCGCGTTGTCAAGCCGGCATGGATTGTTGATAGCATTAATGCTGGCCGATTACTTCCTTGGGATTTATATAGGGTTGTGGATGAAGGGCAAGCACAAAAGGTTCTTAACTTTGACGACGGCCGGATGGTTAGCCAAACGAACAGCCCGAGGCGAGCCACTTACAAAGAGGAGAGCGGATCGGGGTGGTATTCTAGGCAGTTTGAAACAGCCATTTCCAAAAATGAGGGTGATACGTCGATTCATAACGACTTAAACGGCACGTCGCAGTCAGATTACGGTGATTTCCCGAGCTTTACCTCCCTACGTGAAATTGCTAAGAACCCTTCTCCCGGCGAGCAATCGACGCCAGACGTACTAGGGAATGATATGGAAGAGGCTCTTATCACTCCTGATGGCCTCGTGGAGGATACTACCACGAAAGATACATCAACTGAAGTAGACAGGATCTCGTCGCCACAACCTAATGTCGTACCTTCAAAGGCAGATATGACCTCGGAGGAATACAATGCCCAACTCCTATCAGATCCACGTATGAGAAACTCCAGCGTGGTAAATCCGGAGTTCCTTCAGCAATACTATAAAGAATCTAGATTACATCATCTCTCAACGTGGAAGGCCGAGTTGAAAGCACAGCTTCAATCACAGGCGCAAGAGAAGTCACGCTCCCAAAGTGGACGACGAAAGCTCGTTCCAGGTGCCAGACGATACATCATGCATATTGACTTCGACTGCTTTTTCGCGGCCGTTTCCACCTTGAAGCACCCAGAGCTTGAAGGGAAACCTGTAGCCGTTGCTCACGGAACTGGAACCGGGTCTGAAATAGCCAGTTGCAATTACACTGCTCGCGCATCTGGCGTTAAGAACGGCATGTGGATGAAAGGCGCTTTACAAGCATGTCCAGGTTTACGCGTCTTGCCTTACGATTTCCCAGAATATGAAGATGCGAGTCGAAAGTTCTACCGATCCATCCTTGCCATTGACGGGTTAGTGCAGAGCGTGAGTATTGATGAAGCGCTTGTGGACATCAGCACCTTGTGTCTTCAGGCTGGTGGGTCGGAGGGCAAGGGTGTATCTGAGGGATCTATATACAGAGAGCAAGCGAAAGCCGATGAAATCGCGGAGAAACTGCGAGCCTCAGTTAAAAGCGAAACGGGCTGTGCAGTTTCCGTCGGTGTAGGGGGTAATATCCTACAGGCGAAGGTTGCGTTACGAAAAGCAAAACCGGCTGGCCAGTTTCAACTGAAGCCTGACTCAGTCCTCGACTTTATAGGGGAACTCCCTGTACAAAATCTTCCAGGTGTGGGCTACAGTATGAGCACAAAACTGGAGGAGCTTGGTGTGAAAATTGTCAAGGATATCAGAGACCTCTCCCGCGAAAAACTTTCGTCTGCCTTGGGTCCCAAGACGGGAGTGAAGCTCTGGGATTATGCACGCGGTATTGATCGGACTGAAGTTGGCCATGAAGTGGCACGAAAGTCGGTGTCTGCTGAGGTTAACTGGGGTATCCGTTTTGTTACCCAAGATCAAGCAGAGGACTTCATGCGGTCCCTCTGCGAAGAACTGCACAGAAGGCTTGTTGAGAACCTAGTGAAAGGCAAGCAACTTACGCTTAAAGTCATGAGAAGGTCATCCGACGCTCCGTTAGAGCCTGTGAAGCACCTCGGTCATGGGAAATGCGATGTGTTTAATAAGAGTGTCGTTCTTGGTGTCGCATCCAACGCAACTGATGTGCTTGGGAAAGAGGCAGTTGCCATGCTCCGAAGCCTTGGAGTTTCCCCTGGTGATCTGAGAGGCCTGGGAGTGCAAATGACAAGGCTTGAACGGCTCAAATCAGCGTCCGAAAAGCCGGACGGCAGCCAACAACAGCTGGCATTCAAAACGTCCCCTGCACGAAAGCGCATGCAACCTGAGGAGGACCCAGACTTGCTAGACAGCCCTCGCAAAGGTGAAGCAGAGTCTATACGGCATGGTCCGTTATTGAATGACGCCACACAAAAGCCTCTGAATATCTCGGGAACGCAGTTCATTATGCCATCGCAGCCAGACCCGGCTGTCGTAGCTGAACTCCCGGGCGACATTCGATCTAGGCTCATCGCACAGGGTAAGCCACGAACCGAGCCTCGCAGCGGCTCTCCCACCGCGTCAACTCCTCGTCCACAGCAAGTCTCCACCATTCCTCCTCAATCTCAACTAGACCCTGAAACTCTTGCCGCCTTGCCAGAAGACGTCCTGGCGGAGGTAATGGGCTACTACAACCAACCATCTGCCAACAGCATCCAGTCGGCACCAGCAGCGCAACCGCAGCCACCATCAAGACCCTCCTCATCAGCGCGAACCCTCAAAGTTCGCAAACCCACATCACCACCCAAGAAACGCCGTGGCCGCCCACCCCTCAAACCACCCACTTCCTCAGCCCTAACCCAATCCAAATTTGTCTTTCCCAAAACCCAAACGCCTGCCAGCAATACAGCCTCGCCAGAACCAGAAAGCCATCCCTCAATATCTGCCGACTTCCTCGCTGCCCTCCCAGAAGACATCCGCCGCGAAGTCCTAGAGGAGGAAAAGCGCACTCGACTACTTAATCAGCGCGCCGCAAACACAGCACAGAACAAGCAAGCAACCGCACCAGCCCAAGCTCAAGAAAAGCATATTCGTCTGCCTCCCCTCCCTCCACGACCAACATTCACATCTAAACACCTCTCGGACCCGTCTGACCTCCGCGACGAAGCTACTTCCTGGCATTCGGCTTTCGCAACGGATGGACCTTTCCAGGAGGATGTTACTGCGTTAGCGGTGTATCTGAAACGGGTAGTTGTTGATGAGCGGGATGCCGATAAAGCTGTTTCGTTGGTAAGGTGGCTTATGTGGCTTGTTGAGGATGAGAAGGGTTGTGATGGTGCAAATCCAGGGGCAGTTTCAAGCGCAGGTCCTCAGTCCCCGGGCACCGTTTCATGGGATGAGGCATTACTGTGCTTAAAAGAGGGGATCCAGGAGGGGTTGCAGGAGCGCAAGATGCCTGCTGTTGACTTCGATTGATTTTTTGGACCTTCATATTTTGTTTTAGATGAGACATATGCTTAACGGTGATACGAAAATTCCGATTTTGGTTTAAGAATTATATGCGTTTATCTTAATCGGCACGCCATCTGTGGATATCTTGTATATATATGTATATATATAATTTCGAAATCGTGGTTCTGTATATCTATGTTTGAAATGCATTGCATATAACGCCTCAAATATATATAAGATTTAAGCCCTCCAATAAAACACTTACCATCTCATGAGTTTATTTCCCCCATCCCTCAGGGCCCCTGAAATACTTGATCATCTTTTCCACCATATCCAGATCCAATTTCCTCGCCTCAGCAACAAACGTTCCGGAAGCCCCGGCTGTCTTCTCAGTCACCCAGCCGATGGCCCGCTTGGGGATGTCATTATCATACTTCGACGCGAAGAAATCAACCAACTTAATGGGCGGATTAGCAACAGGGTCCGGGTTCGACCCCCTCAACCGCTTTATCCAGGCTCGCTGTTCGATTTCCTCGAACTCTAAACCGGAGGCACGGAGGTGGGGAAGGAGTTCCCTCGTCCAGTGGAAGGGGTTGGAGTTAATGATGTTAAAAATTGGCTGGGCCTCCGTGGCACTTGCATCATATTTGAAAGGATCTGTAGAAAGCGAGATATCTGCAATAATCCCCGCGACCGCATTAACAGGGAGCCAGCGGTGGTACTCGTCTAGCTTTGGGAGAGCGCCAATGGTAGTGGCAGCTTGGATCATGAGCGGGATGGCTTCGGTTGTGTTCCAGATGCCGTGGTCGGTGTCGCCGATGACCTGACCGATTCGGAGGACGCGGGATTGGATGCCCGTCTGCTGCGCGGCTCTTATGCAGAGGTGCTCGGCGACGAGTTTAGATTGAGCGTAGCCCATGGCCTGAACGTATTCGAGTTTCGAAGGGAGGGCTTCAGGGACTGAGGGTTCGGCGGTGCGTGCAACGGCGCTGATAGATGAGCAGAAGTTTAACGTAGCTGGCGCTGGCCTTTGGACTTTGAGGCATAGGTTTGCGAGATTCTTCAGACCGGCGATGTTGTCTCTTTCGAAGCTGCTCAGGTGGAGGTTGAAGTTGACGGACCAGGCGCAGTGGATAACATCCGTAAGTTCTGATGTGAGGGTGTTATATGTATTGGAATCGAGTCCCAATTCTGGCTGTGAAAGGTCTGATGGGAGAGCGACCAGCTTCTTCTTAGCTGAAGTAGCCAATGTATCATAAACCCTCCTGGCGCGGAACGAACTAAGCAGACGACCGTAGGCATCGATTGGAGAGGTTGCACGGACAAAGCAGTAAACTTTCTGAACGGCTGAAAGAGCTGCCAATTTGGCGACAACATGGGCGCCCAGGGACCCTGTAGCTCCAGTAACAACCTAGAAGCTTGTTAGCAACTTTTTAATCGTATCTTTGGCAGGAAGGTCCGCTAACGTACAATATATCTCCCGCTTAGACCATTCGGACGGGGAACATGTTTGTCAAAATCGCCATACTTTGAGATCAAAGCTTCCATCTGCTGCTCAACAGACACCTCAGCCTGCGTTGTACCAGAGCTGAGTGAATTTAAGTAATGAGCCAGAGACCCAATCGACGGATGTTCAAATGCAACGTTTAGCCCTAACTTATGGCCCTTTGTATCGATTGACTTTACAAGCAATGATCTCAACTGAGTCGCCTGTAAGGAATCCATTCCGAGGGCGAAGAAATCAGCCTCATCAGTGAAATCACTGGGGTTTCTGGTTGGCACAATGTCGGGAAGCTCTTTCCGAAGGAACGCCTTCAGCTCTTCTTCTGACAGAAGCAGAGTTCCCGCCATCGCGTCGTCAGCTTCGTAACAGGCCTCGATCAAGTCACTGAAATCGCGGTAGAAAGCCTGGCGGATGACGGTACCCTTGTCGGTTCGAGCATAGGGTATATCGGCAGGGAGGACTCGGACCATGCCCTTGGATAACTGGCCGTATGCTGGCAATGACTTGTGCGCTTCTTCGACAGCAGGCCAGATGGCATCAATGACCTGATCATCGGTCATTGACGCTGCATCTGGGCCACGGATAACTGCCAACCCAATGCTCGATTTGGCTACACCGAAAACGAGAGCGTCTGCAACAACGCTGAGTTGCCTGACTCGCCCCTCCAAATCAAGCGGGATTACCTTCTCGCCATTGACAAGAGTGATCGTGTCGTCTAGTCGTGAGTAGTACTTGTATGCTTCCATCTCGGGGTGTTTCAAGAACAAGTCCTTGGTGGCGTAAGCACCATCTGGTCGGTTTGTCATGACCTTCGAGGGCCAGCCATCCAGGACAACAGACTCATAAACTCCCGGAAACCGCTCTTCCATCCTGAGGAACTTCTTGACAGTTTCGGACGGTCGCAGCCAATCCCATCTTTTATCTTCTCGAGGCCGCAAAGATGTCATCAGTTGGCCGGTTTCAGTCCTGCAACAATCAGTTAAAATAGAATATAAATTATCTGGAGGAAGCCACATACGATCCGTAGTGGCTGATTAAATAGACACCATTTTCGACTAATAAATTCCCCAGTGAGTCCGGACAAGACGATCCACCGAACATAACAGCCTTGAGATTAGCAAGGGCGGCAATTCCTTCCTTTGATTCGGCAAGCAGCTTGAGTGCATAAGGGACACCGTAGAAAATCTCGAAATCGTGAGACCGCATGATTTTGACCAAATATTGGCTGGTAAGAGGTAGAGAGGGGTTGTACAGGTGAAGAGTCTTGCAGGAATAAATTGTCCGGAACGTACAGCAGATGCCATGGCTGTGATACAAGGGCAGGGTGATGAAGCCCCGCATGTTCATATTCCCGGCATAGTTTTTGATGGCTGCTCGATGTGTTTGGAAAATAGGCTTAGGAAGTCCCGTTGATCCGCTTGAGTGGATTATCCATGCTACATGTGTTTTCTCGACCTCGGGGTCAAGATGAGGGAGTAGGTTTGTGTCGACGGGATCATCTGAGACTGGATAATCGTAGTTTTCCTCTCCCGGTATATCGTGGATCTGTAGGCTGGGAGCTTGCTCCTGGACTTTTCTTGCCGTATCTTTCAGAGAACTGTGCACGAAGATATGCTGTGCATTGGTCCTTTCCACCAAAGACACATGTGCCTCGACAGGTATCCTGGTGGAGAGGAACAAGCCGGTATGACCAAGCTTGGTCAGAGCGAGAAGTAAAACGAGATAATTCAGGTCGGAAGGCCCTAGCAGTCCGACGACTGTAGGCGTATCAGAAGACGACTTCCGAGGCGCAATTACCCCTGATAGTTTCTTCGCAACGCGGAAGGCGTAGACATCGAGTTGGTGTAGTGGAAATTTGGAGTATTCGATGCCAGTGCGCGGATAGTAAACGGCAGGCTGCGACGAACCTAGCGATGCGCGCTGACGGACAAGTGCATCGACTGTCGGAGGCTCAGGCTGTGGTGCTGGTAATTCCTCTTTGTCGTGCGGGAGTTTGTCGATGTGGGTTGTTGGTGCGGTGGGGAGAAGTGTAGACAACATCTTGATACCGGGCAGATGCTCCTAAACAAGCACCACCATGGAAATCCTGCGGCGACTTGCACATTTAAATAGTAAGAAACCGGAATCGGAAACCCGTCGTCGGGTAGACCCGTTTATCCAAGCTGATGCTGGCCTGTGATGCTTGTTGTCTTCCATCTCGGAAAAGCACACTCGGAGAAATATCCGAAGAGCAGCAGTGGCTCAGTCTAGATGGCGATGTCCAGAGTTTCCATGCACGGGTTCCAGGAGGGGGCATCTGTATAAGAATAGAAAACCATTAAGGCGTATCCGGCTGTACCCTAAGTCTGAGGTCGGATACGGATGAAGTTCGGAGTATCTACACGGATATGATCCCTGTAACGCCCAGCGCGCAATCTATTTGCAGGTTTAAAGGGACCAAATAAATGAAATCGTAGTATGTTATTCTGAGGGTATCGAATCAGCTGTCTAGAATTGTAAATGACTGGATATCATGATGTAGCTCAAAAAGAAAATTGGGACGGATCATTAGGTAGATTAGAGAATGCCTGCGGACGATCAGTATGAAAAAAGCCCAAAAGCGCACATAAGAAAGAGATATGGCAATACTAACCCAAGTGTCCAACTGGGTCCACCAAATCGACCCTTCAAGGTTATCTAAAAACCCAACGTCACCCATATCGAACGGCTCATCTACAAAAGTCGATGGCTGGAAATTCCCATCATACCCGAACGAGTTCGAATCGAAGGGAACAGTGTTGTTTGTATCAGCGGGATCTACGAGCCTTTGGTTGACAACGGACTCTCGATCCTGGGCTGTGGCATCGCGGGAATGCTCAGGGACATTCCCAAGGGCACCTTCGCTGAATTGGCAGCCAAGTTGCTTGTGTACCTCTAATCTTGTTTCCTCAAGGATGATACCGTACCGGCGACTAGGGCAGTTCTTCCGCGTGGCTTCTGCCAAATGCTGCTGGCATTGTTCCGCGAGGCTGAAAAGAGACCGTACGCGGTTCTTGTCCATCTCATCAGATTCCAAAGTCGACGACAGTCGGTGCTGCTGTATTGTGTGAATGTAGACCACCACGATTGCACAGAAGCATACGTGATGGGTGAACCAAAACGACTGTATTAGGGTTCCTTGCTTTGCTATGCTGTCTACCAAGTTCATGACATGCTCGGCGGCCTCGAGACATTTACTTACATGGGCCGTCACTGTCGGATGTGGAGCTGCTGGTCGACGGCTGAGATCGGTGAAATCGTTCAACAAGAAAGACCTAGTTGCATGGATCATAGCATGACAATAGGCGAGCTGAAGGACTTGGCTTTGCCTGCACAAGGGCGGGATGAGACTGGTTGGGCGGACACTGTTAAACAATGGCGGCGTCGTTTCTTTCCATTTTTCAAGTTCCGATGTAATCCGTACAGCGGCTTCAAGAGGTGACTGGCGGAAAATAGGATTAACAGTGTAAAACTCACGCGAGATCTCGCCCAGTATGCGCCCGAGTCTATACTATTAGCAGTGCCTATAAGAGTCGACTTTGTACAATGGGCTCAAACCTAAAGTGTAGGACCGATGCGATCATCATCGAATCTGCCGTGCCTAAACGCAGAGCCGGGTCATCTTGTAAGATATCTTCATCGTTCACCTCATCGGGAAGTTCCTGATCAATATCTACATCGTGCAATAACCGAGGCCGGCCAAATATAACGTTGAGATATTTGTCTAGCGTATAGGCGCTCCACAAGATTCGCTTGCGGAGCTCTCTCTCTAGATACGAGATTCCCTTCTTGGACAGTTTAGGTGCACACCGTCGATGCAAGCCAATGGCCGTGACCAATTGCACGGCGGTTCCAAATGTATACCAGCATTCGTTGGCCCGTGAGGATGAAAGAAGGTAAAGACACTGACCCAGTCGTGCTTGAACGGTCTCGAGACGCGGAGGTCCGAGTTCCATTGTGAGCATCTGTTTCGATGCGGCATACCACTTTTCACTGCAAAAGAATGGGTGAGTATACGAGAACAAGTGGGGTTATTATATGCGTACCTTTCACTTGAAGACTCTGCCTGATCCCCCTGAGTTTGCTCTTCATGCAAGGTACTTACAGCAAATATCATGAGAATTATGGAAGTTCGAGCAACCAAAGGCCCTGTAGGCAAGTTCGACGAGGATATATTATGGCTGTAAACCTGTCTAAGCCATTCCTCGACACTTCCTCGATGAAGAAAGCGATACGTGACCATCGCATAATCAAAGTACCTGCCCACCAACTCTAGGGCTTTGTCAAATGCGGGAAGGGTGAAGCCAGCATTGCGATAGTCTGTATATGGTTTATCACCGAACATAAATACTGAAGTGTTCTTAGGGCACCATTCGCTCTGCAACTCATCGGGAACAGCACTTGTCTCATCCTGGTGCAAACGCCGCCAGACACGGTTCAAAAACGACACACCCGAGGCTGGGCCGAGATAGTTACCCTCGAAATCAGTAGCTACCGGATCTGGAGAATTGCGCCGCGGTGATACCTCCACGGATGTTTGTGAGATTTGCGAGCGCGGAGTCCTTGTAGTTCTAGATGACTCCCTCGCGGGAGGCGATCTCAGGGAAACGGGACTCTGCGAAATCGAGACCCGGGAAGCCGAGCGGTTTCTGGAATATCTAGCCGCGACCGATGCAGGCGCCGGGGGCGGCTGTGGAGGCAAGCCTCGAGAATAGGCCGCGTTATACTCGCAGGCGAGCGACAGCCTTGTACATCTCCCGCATGGCAGAGTTCCTGTGCAGCGGGTCTTCTTTTCCTTGCAGCTATCGCAAGCTCTTGTGATCTTCTGGCGCGGCGCATTGGCTTTGTTCGCCGGCGATTCTTCAGAGGTCTTCCTCTTCCGCCCTGCACGAACTGCTCCGTCCCGATTGAGTTCGTTGTCGCTATCAGGCGCAGACGAGAGCTGCACGCCTGCCTGCGCCACAAGGGTGCTAGACATGAGGGGCACGCGGGGAAGCTTATCGCTGCCTGGAAGGGTCCTATTTCCGCGCCTCTCCACGGATATACCCCGTAAAGACAGATTCGACAGGAAACGAACTAGATGATAGACAAGACTGGAGGCAGACGAAGAAGGCAGAGGAGAAAAATCCGAAGCTCCCAACGGATTTTGACTCACTCGCTAGTCTGGGGCCAGCGTCTTCTTGGGACGTGCGGGGTTGGAGAGCCGGGAATGGCATCGACTGTTATGGATCCACCACCAACAAACAATGAGCTTCGGGCCGATAGGGCGCCATTGCGATGGATGCAATTGAAGTTGGGTGCAGTGTGATGATACCGGCATTCTTCCGGCCATGTTCTGAAGCCTCAAGCTCCAAGCATGAGTTCCCCGAGGTGAAAGTGAGCCGGGATGTCAGAAAAGTCGGAAGCTCGGGGGATTGCTGACTCAGTCGGATGTTTTCCGAGCTATTCTTCGGATAAGCACCAGAACTGGAAGAGTTGCAAGATTATATTTAAGAGAAGATCATCTTTTATCTACCGCATCTCAAATTCGAGTCCGACTCAGTATACAAAGGTGGATGAAGTAGCTAGCCCGAGCAGAGGACTCCTGGAGTTGATAAACCAGAATAGCTTTTTACGGAGTGAAATCAAAATGCAGGCGAGGGACCAAAGCAATGCAAAGCTGCAAAGATCACATAAAGCAGACAGAAACCAACACGTCGAGTCGAATTAAAATGGGTATGAGAATCGATTTTTCCTTGCCTTCTAGTTCTTTGGACTACTTCCCAATATCGTATGCTCATTACTTTCCCTCTTTTGTTTGATACAGCCGTATCAAACTTCGAGTTCATTAGGGTGAGAGACGATAGGCGGATTACTAGAAAGAATCATTGCGTGCGAAGCCGAAAAAAAGCAGCAATCTAAGAGGGCAGTAAAGGGGTCGCGTCGATACCCAATTGTTAGAGGTGTCAGCGCGAGAACTACTGCCCCGCCATCCAGAAGAAGCCACGAAAGTGAAAAATAGTCTTGATAGTTGTTGTTTGAGCGTTAGTGTGCATCCAAGACGAAAACAATAGCAGACTTGGATATTTTGCAACGCGGAGGATGTCGCCGTCTCGCGGTATCACGGAACTCATGCCTTTGTGGGCCCATCCACAACCGGCGTACCGTCTTCACCATTCGTAGAGTCAGAACCCCCAGGCGTGTCGAGGCTGAATCGAGGGGCGAGGTGCCCAAACTGCGATATAAAGTTTCCGATTTCCCTTTCAGTTGCACCCTTCCGAATAACGGCGATGAGGTTATTGACATCATCAAGTTGGCCAAATCGAATCGCATCGAGTAAGTAGCGGACGTATGATCGGTAGTACTCCAATTCCCCCTGAGTGATCTCATGATCTTTTCGTGATTTCGCGAGGTCCTTTTGCGACGATTTAAGGTTTTCTTCTGTCTCTTTTGCCGCGACCTTCCGTCGTTTGTCGGCTAGCTCATCGATGATACATTCCCGGTTATGGAGTGCGCACTCAGCACAGGGAGGACCCGAATCATCGACGGTGCACTGTGAATAAAGTAAATAATATGTTAGTAAACCTTGAAGTTGTACACGTCTGTAGCCTGAGACTTCCAGCTGACGTGGGGCGGGGGCGGCAGAATGAGAGATCGGGGAAGGGGACATGGGTCTCAACGAGGTGTACCTTTGTTCGACGCTGTTTACACTCACCACAAGCGGTAGAGGCCCGTTTTGTTCGAATTTCTTCGGGAGAGCGACTCGGTGCTGGGAGTTCGGTGTCAGGCCCCTTTGGCGCAATGGGAGGATATCTCGATGGATGATCCGCCATTGTCTATGGGACGGAGAAAAACACAGGAATGGTGAACCGAGCAGAAGCCAAGGACGAAGCAGTGAAAGAAAGGAGTTAGAAAGAAGTGAATAATGGGGATGAAATCAACAATCCAGCGTTGATATCCCAAAAAGCATACTCTCCAGAAGACAGCACATCTATCTGAAGACGGTCGATATCAACATCCTCAGCCGGGCAAGATATTGAGGCGAAAAATAGACTAGTCAAAGGCAAGATGTTAAAGAGCGCTACTGCGCGTGATCGTCTGGTTTAAAGAGCCGATAATAAGAGCGATGAAGCGAGTGATAATGCGTGTGGAGGAGTCGGACGGAGTGGATATGAGGGGATCCGTAGCAGCGGACAGTGTTCCTTCCGCTTGAACAAGGCGGATCAAGCTTGCGAGACGATCTCCAATACTATTGACAAGGATATATGAATTACTGATTAAGCGAAAAAAAAAATCAAAACCAGGAGAATAGAAAAAGTAAAGAAGGGGGCGGGTGAGAAAAATAAAGCTTCAGGTTGTGAAAATCTTGCCCCAGGTCCACTGGCGGTTCGACAGGATAAGGTATTCTTTCTGGATGACCAGGCACAATTAAGCGCGCACGACGAAAGGGGCACCAGTGGCGTCGAAAAGGCTGTCCTCGAAGAGCCGACAGAACTCAGAGGTGGCGATTCTCAGCTGGGAGTTTTGTCGGTGACCACGGTTCAGCAGCGTTGTGTGGATTCTGAGCAACGATGACCGTGCCGGTACCAGTGTCAGTGCCCAAACCACTTTGTCTGGTTGATCAAGTTAAGAAGAGAGCCCCCCGCCCAAAACAACACGAAGCTGAGAGGACAGTGACCGGCCAAATATATGGTGTTCGGATACACCCGTTGTAAAGCGCCCATTTCAGTGGACGACCAACATGCATGCCACCTCCACCAACCACGGCGAGCCGAGAGATTAATCTGCCTCCCAAACTATCAACAGCAGTGCACATTCCTGCCCACGTCACGCTCCTGTGTCAGAGCTTGGGCTGATGGCTGTAGGATTGCGTTTGGCGGTGGTCAACTCCAATCCCAAAGTTTTCTTCCCGTTTGCTCAGGCTCCTTCTTGGGCAGCTTCTGAAACCTGTTTTTCTTTTTCCCCCATAAACGCCGTCTCAATAATCCCAATTCCTCAGTGGGCACTGCGCGGCCGTCGCACAGGCTAACGTTTGCATTCCGCAGGAATTCTATGGGACGATTGGGCCGGAAATTATACCCGGGGTAATCGACAGGCTCTGGCTTGCTTTCAGGTGGCGGGACCGGTCACGCCAGTTCCGCTTGTTGCCCAGTGCCATCCTTCGTCTCCCAGTCGTTTCTCCGCAGGGCGCAACGCAAAGCTCGAAAGGAGTAGGTATGTGCAGTGCGCAGTATGAGTCTTTGAATCGGACAACAGATGGCCATGAAGAGGAATACATTAGCACGTGGATGGACCGGCGAACACGAAACACGAAAATCGCAATGTATTGAGCAATTGCGCCCGGCCGTGGTTCTCAGTCACCAACGCAAGTCGGTATAGTGGGCGGCGTCTGGGGCTCTGGCCAGCCTTCCAGTACCCTGTTGACCTGAGGGGCTGTGGTGGAGTGAGGGACCAACGCTCGAGCTGCTAGCGTGTTTTTTCCCTTGGCTGAGACGCTAAGGCGTGGATCACGTGAACAGATTTCTTCACAGACAAAGACACGGGAAGTGCCGGATAACTATCGAATGGGAATGCTCAGACTGGAGAACTGGACAGAGTGCCCTCGCTGCAAGCTGTGTTGGAGCTTGCGCCCATTGGACCAGCAAACAGCCTGTGGACGAGCCACCAGGAACCGACACGACAACTGCGACCCAAAATTCAGCCGGCGCAAAAATCGACCGATTAATGACCGGAGTATAATTTGGAGATCCGGCTTCGATATGAATCGAGACGAAGGCCCTAAGTAAGATTACGGCTTCCCTTGTGGAGGAACCTTCGGGCTGGGACCAGGATCCATGGGCGCGAATGGGAACCGTTAGAAGTCACCCAGTGGCAGGGCATACAATTCGCCAATCCCGCAGCAGAGCTTCTCGATCACCACCGCCGCAATGCAGGCGTTTTTGATCGAAGAACCGCTATCCGCCGAGGTCCGTTCCAGGGAAACCCGCTGAGACATCCGCGAATCCACTTCTGTATGTTTGTCACGGCGCAGCAAGGAGGCTTGAAGCGGGTCGCCGGACAAGATATCCTGAAGTTTTGATAGGTGGGAAGTCTATCCGTGGGCAACAATAGGTTGATCAATGAACGATTTGGGCACGAGGGGTGACTGCCTTGGAACGCTCGGGTCCAGTGTTGTCTCCAGTGCCAGTGCGCTCGGGCGCATTGAGTTGGTTAAAAACAAGGCAGAATGGCACTAAGGGTGCGAAAACAGTCAGGCATGTTTGCTGGAAGAAGCATCTTTTCAATGCACAAGAACGCCATAGGTGGTCTGGATTATGACACGAAGGAAAGGATGGAGGACGCGGAAGAAGAGTTTAGGATTCTAGATTTACGCATACAGAGTACAATGGAGGATGATCCTACGCACTGGATCGAACAACAGGCCAGAAAGTATATGCTGAATCTAATATGGGAACTATCAGGGGATCAATATGTAAGTAATATGGAAGAATAAAACCTAGTTACAACCTGGAAACCAAAGTGAACCAATATTGAGCCAAGAGATATTGACTAACAGGATTAGCAAAAGTGAGACGATCATGACGGCATGAGGAAAATGGAAAGAAGGTCAAAGAGAAATAGTACAGTCGTGGGGGTGATCGATAGATGGTTAGTATATGGGCCTGCCCTCATCCCACCTGCGCACCCCTTCTATTGGGCTCCTCGCGAGGGGCCCATCTGGTCGACGAGGGGATCGGGTTTCTGTGGCAGCCAGTGGAGAGAAGTGTGCTTTGTCTGTCTCTGCGGACGGGCTGTTCCCCTCCATCTGTCTTCCAACGCCGCCGATGCCTCCAACCCATTCCCAAACGCGCGCAACATCTCCACCACGCCCTTCGCGGACGGCGGCCCGAATGTTGGCGTTGTCCTCAACTACATTGCGAACGCGCTTCCAGATCTCCTCGCGACGGTTGCCCCTCAATTCTGAGCGGAGCACGTCGTCGCGTAATTGACCAATGGGGATGTAAGGTTCATGAGCCTGACCACGCGCATGTAAAGCCGCCTGCGTTGCGAGCCGGTCAAGGGTCGTAGCCACCAACTCGGGTACACGAGCGAGGTCGGATCGGCGGGCAAGCACTCGAGAACGTGCATAGGCAGCAGCAGCAAAGAATATTATTAAAACTGAAAGAGGGAGTCGATACGCGAGGAGAGAGAGCCTGATGTTGCGGCGTAAGGCGCAGGCGAGGGGGAGGCGGGCGACGGATGAGGTTGAGAGGGTAATGACAGACGATGATCTGTGATGGTGTTGTCGACTCTGTTAGTTCCAATACACACGTCAGAAATATAATCCTCGTATACTGGCCAGAACCAGCTTCGGTAAAGGGCGCAAACTAAAGTTCTTTAGAAAGAAATAGAATCAAGACAACTTACGGGTCTGTTTTGGCAACAACTTCCTCTTTCGCAATGATATCACCCAGTGCTCCTTTCCACAGGTCATCGAATTCGGTATCGCTCATACCCTTCCGTCGTTTCCTCCCGACTTCCTCCTTAAGGTCATCCTCTGTAATATCAGGTCCCGCCGTCTCTTGACTGGCCTCGGTAAGCTCCCCGCACTCCCATTTTGCTCTCCGATCACGAAGCGCTTCCACAGCCTTGTCAGCAACGGCTTTCACGCGGCGTGCCTTCTCACTGTCAGGTTCGCAGGCCGGTGCGAAAGGAATAAGGCCTCCAAGAGATAATGGATGGGGCGTTAGAATGAAATCGTGCTCGCATCGAGCCTCGAAGTTCGGGTAGCAAAACGCATGGGATGGACATGGTTCGCATTGCGGTTCAAGTACACTCGCCCATTCCGGCACCTTGGTCTCAGCCAGCGACCATGTAGGCTTTCCAATACCACAAAATCCAATTTCAATCTTCTCTTTACGCCACCAAGCACCGAAACTTGTGAAAAGCGATAAAATAATAAACCAAGGGAACGCCCGACTCACTGGGCCCTGCTGCTGGGGGCGCTTGCGAGGAGGTCTTGGAGGGTACATCAAATCGGCTTGCTCGCGTTCCAATGCCAATTGCTCTTCGGGGGTAAACTCTTCGCCAGCGTCGCTGTCGATTTCATTCGATTCATACGCCTGAAGTGACTGATCTGCGGTATCCAAATCCTCCTCATTCTTAATATAGGTCGGGGTTTCGGATTTCCGGGGAGGTGCATTCTTGTAAGGAGATTTTCCAGTAGAAAACAGTGCGCTGCTGTGCCTTTTTCGCTCTGAACTCGCCCCTCCAGACTTTCGCGGATCCCATGAAGCTGGTGAGCTTCCGCTCTGGAATGGATTATCATCCGTAAAGACGCTTCGATCACTAGGTTCAGGTTTAATCTCCGATAAATGAGGTTCCGGTTCGGGAGAATGGAAGATATCAGATTTGCGAGATTTACCAACGGTAGATGCGCGGGGTGTAAGTGTAGGAGCAACAGGTGTCTCAAGGTATTCGTCGACTGGTTCCGGCTCGGGCTTCTGCGAGCGTCGTCCAGATGATCTAGTCGTTGTTCTTCTTGACGATGGAGTAGCGGTGACGCTCGCATCTTCCGTATCAACCGTCGATGCGCGCGTGCTGGCTTTTGACCGACCTCTCCTCCCAGCAGTAGAAGGTGTTGGTGCGGCGCGCTCACTGACTACCGATGTTTCGCGGCTCGGCATGTTAGTGATGCCTGCGCTAGTCCTCCGTACTCGCTCGCGCTCCCGCAGAAGTTTCTTCGCCTGCGGTAGGACTTCATCCTCGAGGATGCGGATTAGCTGGGCCTTCTTGGCGGATGCGGGATATGTGACGTCGTGATTGACGAGAATCGATCGGAGGCGCGGCACAGTGAGGGAGTTGAGGTCGAAGTCCGGGGACAGATAATCGTACTCGTCCGCCATGATGTAAGGACACGATTACCTCAACAGGAGGTCAAACCAGAGTAATCCGATCGGGGTTCAATCTAATTGGAAGATAGAAAGAAAAAAAAGGGGAACAAAAGGAAAAAAGAAGGAAAAATTGCGAAGCGAAGAGCAGAAGCGCACGGAGTTTGCAAAGAAAATATTCGCCAGTTTGAAATGAGAGCAGCTCGAGTGGAGTTTGCCACCGTCATTCACGGATTGTAAAGTTGTCCGAGCGTATCCAGGGCAACAGGAGGGGCGGAGAGCATAAAGTCCAGTTGGTGAATACAACTGTCGCCCAACAAGTGATACGTCACCTGAATCTCGTCTCAAGAACCGCAAATAATTTGACCTCAAATACAGGATGGGAGCGAGTAGAGAGTAGAGAAAGTGATGCAAGAAGCAGCGACGTCGAGATTAAAAGGCAAAGAAAGTTGCATCAACAAACAGACTGTGTCACGTGACCTGACGTTTATCCGCCACTTATGCAAATGATGACGTGAGCTATTCACGTTTTCAGTAAGCCCAAGGACAATGGGAGAAGTAGTAGATTTTGGCTATAAAAATGATAAAACAAAAGAGGCAACTATCCGTATAAATAACAACTGCCATTCACGCTTCATTATTCGATATAAACCAAGCGAAATTCAGAAGAAAAATATAAATCAAGCGCCTGGGATCTCCGCATGCTTAACTTAACCTCCCAAGACGCCCAAAAACGAGCAAGAGAGCAGCGACCCCCTAAACCAACAAAAGTGAAAAGAAGAGACAAAAATTTATATCAAGATCACAGTGGAGTCAACCAACTAGATGATTGCAGTATACACACGAGAATAATTAAGTGGGTAGTAGAAGTAGTGATGGACGAAAGAGCCCGGGAAGGGTATTTAGGATAAGGATGAAGATGATGAGTTCGAGTTGAACTCGGGAGTATAGTGCAAATCGGTCGCAGTGGAGCTCGGAGATGCGCCAGTGATGCCAGCAGCACTGACAGCGACCTGCTCCTTGAGAGCTTTATACTCTGCAAGCTGGGTTTGCAATTGTTGGAGAACCTCGCCTATGGGCGCAGCATGGTCGTTAAGCCGATCGCCAGATTTGAAGGGTTGCATCATGTGTCGTACGGCAAGGGTACTTATTGTAACCTGTCATTTGTTAGTAACATGCATAAAAGATAGTAAAGTGGATTCAACGAACCTCAATACGGGTGACCTGCTGCTCAACCAGACTGACAACGGTTGAATCCGCAAGTTCCCCGCCGTACTTCTTGATAATGTTGAATAGGGCCGAGTTGGGGTCCTTAAGACGTGCGTCTCCTGGATGCTCAAGGGCTCCACACAGTCTTTCAAGCCGAAGGGTAACTTCCCACAATCGCCAGATAAGGTCAGTTTGTATCTGGAGCTGAGAGTGTTGGCTGATAGTGGTCGGCGCGTTTTCCTCTCCCGCTGACGATTGTTCCATGCTTGTCAAACGTCCCGACAGAGCGTGGGGGTAGATGAGGTATAGAGGCTCAGGGTTCTCAAGGCCCTTGAGCTTGCGCTCGCCCTGGTCTTTGATCACGAAACCCTGGCTATTGAGCTGCTGGAGCTCACGGCGGATATTGTCGCCCAAGTCTAGTGCATAGCTCTCATCAGAGCCAGTGGAGGCAGCGCGCTCACTGTCAGCAAAGAGTTCGAGGTTACGCTGCATATCGCTCATGAAATCGGACGAAACAAATATTTGACCACCATCTGCAACGGCTGATATTCGAGATGCACGGTTTACCATTGGTCCAAAGTAGTCCATGCGGTTGGTGACGGGATCCTTTTCGCAGACAGGCTCGCCCCAGTGGACTCCCATCCGCACCGATAATCCTCGGAATATGATGTTGTTCTCCATATCATAGTTGACACGGCACTGAGGTTGCTCGAGAATTTCCATCGGCCATTCAGCTTCAAGGAGTTGGGTTTGACAGTTGAAGCACCAAAGCAGAGCCGCTGTGGTCGTTGAAAATGCGACCATGAAAGCATCACCTTCAGTTTTGACTTCGTAACCGCCGATTATACCGAGTTGACGGCGAAGGATATCATTATGGATCTGAATAGCTGAGCGCATTGCGTCAGGGCACGTCTCCCAGAGACCCGTTGACTGTTTGATATCGGTGAAAATGATGGCCAGTTCCCCAATTGGAGCGTCAACGAAGTCGAAACGGGCCAACCTGGAATCCCATGTAGTTTTATCACGCGGCTTCTTGGGGCGTTTTGGACTAGGGATGAGGGGATCTTCAACTTGGCCCAAGCTACCAAGACTGGGCAGCCCCCGCGCGCGTCTCTCGCGCTTCTTCAGGTCGCTGACTCCAAGAATCATGACCATGAGCTTATTGGTAGCTCCAAATGACAGAGCCAAATCCCGTATTTTTTGGGCTGCAACCATCAGGTTCCCCCTCTCAGCTCTAGTCACATCAACAACGAGGTCCGCAGTAACATAGTCCCACAGTTCCTTCGAAGCCAGAATGACCATCTCATCTTGCTCAGTCAGGCTCACATGTACCGTATGTGGTGCAGCGATAACCGCGGGCATATGATTAAAGTGTCCGAATGACCGAGAAACAGGAAGGTAATCATTAAGTTTTCCGTTGCGAGACACAAATCCGCCAACAGCACGAATCCTTGCGCGTTCCCCTGCTTCAGCTGGGTCGTGGTTCCTGGTAAGGTTCCTCATACTGCCATCCGACTTCACAAGTATGGCCTGGACATCACCAATATTAGCTGCATAGAGATCCATATTATTCAAATACAGAACTGTGGCGACGCCACCAGAGTTGAGGTCTTCCTTGCAGAGCCGAACCCTTTTCTGGCCAGATACATCGTCTTGATATTGCCGGACATCTTGGTCGATGGACTTGAAACAAGCGAATGCCAGGTTCCTGTTGAGGGAGAGGAATGTTCGCCTGAACGCATCCAGCGGAGTTTCTTGCTCGTTGGGTCGTAGACGCTTGAGCTCAGCTGAGAAGGTGCGAAGGAAATTCTCATGGAGGAACTTCGCAACTCTGGAACCCCCAGTAGAGCTAAGCTGCCCATCAAACATTCCCACCACAGTTTCAATATTATCTGGCCTCAATCGAGGCACGATCATATCAATGATGGAAAGGTGTTCACTCCGGCCCAGGAAGTCCGCCATACCATAAGCGAGCGTGCCAGCCAGGGAAGCAGATGTTCGTACACGTCGATCTTCATTCTCTTCTGGAATTGTGGACGTTGTGAGAGTAACATCCATTAAACCAAGCACTCGAAGGTGGGTGAGCGAATTGAAATCCGTCAGATCTGTGCCTGTAGAGTTCGGCTGTTGGGCACCCAAGGAAGACACGTTTGGCTTGATCTCCAAACGCTTGTTTCCGGAAAAGTTCAAATACTTGAGATTTCGGTTCCAGTTCCAGTTCCAGTCGTAAGGCCAGTTCGAAACGTTATACTTCAAGGAGTTGCTCCCAACGTCAAGAATAGCAAGTTTGCTGACCTTACACAATTCCGCCGGCAGAACTTGGAATTTGTTCGCATTGACATTGAGGATCTTCAGGTTACTCCCTTCCTCAAGATCGTCTGAGGGAAGCGACGTTAACTCGTTACCCGATAGATATAGCTCAGAGATCAAAGGCCAGCGCCTTAAGAGCCCGGGTGGGATCTCGGTCAGGACGTTATAGGAGAGATTAACCACGCGCAGTTCGGGAATGAATGAGAGTTCACGGAAAATATCATCCTCGAGACGGTTATCGGCCAGGTACAGGTTCTTCAGTGAGCCACCAAACGTAGTCGCGATATGTTGAGAGAAGTTGGAATCTTTCCTTGACGAAGGGCTTCCCTCTGTGAATTTGGACGCAGTCGATACCTTTCGTCCTTGGCTAACAGAAGACGCAACTGATGTCTTCCGGTAACCCCCACCGTTAGGAGAACTACCACTATTCAAGTTACTTCCGGATGCCTCGCTAGGGCGGCGAGTTTCTGACTCTTCTATTGGGCCGAGTTCGTCGAGAGTTGGTGTCATTGTACCACCTGGTGTTGCAGCGGGGGTAGGGGTAGCAGTGGCTTCACCAGGAAGTTGAGGGGTGGGGCCACCATGTTTGGGGAAACTATCGAGTACGTTCGATGAGACGTTGAGGCTCTCCAATTTCAGACAATACCAAAGTTCTTGAGGCAGCCGTTGCAAATTGCACTCCCTCAGATTAAGGTACTTGAGCTCAGTCAAACACCCGATAGTTGGAGGAAGTGCTGATAGCGGGTTCTTGGCCATGCTGAAATGTTCAAGTCTTCGCAACTTGCCAATGTGAGATGACATTGACATGAAGTGGTTTTTGTCCAAAGTAAGCTTCGTAAGATTGGGTATAAATTCGAACATAGTGTCCCGGAATTGAACAAGCTTCGCCGAAGCTATGTTGAGAGATGTGAGTGTTTGCATGGGCCCGTCGATATCGAACTGTGTCACAGGACAGTGGTCCATCAGGAAAGTCCGCAATTTGGGAAACGATCCCTTGAACTTTGAAACCGCGTTGTGGCCAATGAATAGCTGTTCTAGGCGCGGGAGAAGACACAGGTTGTCAATATTCGCGATGTCATTGAATCGGGCGTCGATCTCCTTGAGGTTGATAAGGTCCTGGATGGATTCTCCGAACGGGCCAGTGAAGCCATTATTCGTCATCCAAAGTCTCTCGAGACTTGTCAAATTACCGATATCTGGAAGCGCAGTGATGCTGTTGAAGCTTATATCGAGATCCACCAAGCTCTTCAAGTTGCACAGAAACTCCGGGAAAACCTGGAAGTTGTTGGAGGAGATATTCAAGCTTCGTAGATATTGGAACTTGCCAAAGTAGCTCGGCAGCTCTGTTAACCTGTTATTGGCGAGCTTGATACTGACGAGACCTTGTAGCCTGTCAAGGTTCGCATGCTCCAGCTCTTCGAGGAAGTTGTTGGATACATCCAGGTACGTCAACCGACTGGCAAGGCTGAAACTTGGGGGTAACCTCACAGCCTCGCTCCCGATAAACTTGATCTCGCGCAAATTGATGCAGCCTTGGATAAAGTCCCTTGGAACATCCAAAGCCAGGTTCCGAGAAAGATTAAGTGATATGATTTCGGACGCCTTTTTGTAAAGGGCGATGGGGATGGTGACAAGACTCCGTCCTTGTAGATCCACGTGGCTGAATTTCTGGTTCTTGCTAAAACCGGGCTCCCCTTCAAGGCTGCTATAGCCGCTGAGCTTCGTGGGAAGAAAAGTAAAACGGAGGATATAGCTGTGGTCCTCCCGACCAAGCTCTTCAATCCTATCTTTGCGCGTATAGCCAATCTGTTCCAACAATTTCTTCTGCATGAGGATCGGTCGTTCGGCGGGATCGAGTTGCCGTGAGATGTCATTCTTGCGCATCACTATCTCGTAATTATTCAGATGGTCTGTCAAGAAAGACTTCTTGCCCAGCGACAAAAGCACATCGGCGACTGTGGCATGTAAGCCGGTCGAAAGTGTAGCAAACGTTCCATCTATACGGAACACCCGGATGAAATACGGAACACCGCCAGCATCGCTCCTAGTAAGGACAGCATCGTGCGCTTTCTTGGGAAGTTTTGCCGTCAGCTCATCTTTCTGCTTTTTGACATGCCAGCTCTCCGGCGCATCCCAATGGTTGACGCCCAACTGATCAGCGACGCTTTTTTCATCAGGCCGAGCTGGCTTGCCGTCATTAACTCTAGCTGCTTCGTTCGGATGCGGGTCCTTGATGATGCCATCCATATGTTCAAGATCAGTATCCAGGCTGTAAACACCAGGCCCTGGCGCCAGTTGCACGTCCTTCCCAACTGGAGTTTCATTCCCCGGAACGCGACGATTTCGTCGCATCCCACTGGCGATACCAAGCTTGCCGTCTCTTTTACGCTCAGGCTCCCCCGGATCGGCAAGCCTGGAAGGTGTTCCGCCCTCCAGACTATTATTCCGATATCGTTGGGGGGAATTATGTCGTGGGGGCCTCGATTGGCCCTTGCCGTCATGTGGTGCTTTCGAACCAGGGAAATGCTTAATGTTGGGGCGGCGAAATTTCCCAAAAAACGTCCGCTTAGATGAGGAAGAGCCGCCCCCGGGAGAGCCTTGGCCTGGCTCCCTGGTGTAGACACTCTGAATGCTGGGCGTGGGGCTCGTTGAGCGACCAGCAAGGTTGGTTGAGGAATTAGCTGCGCTGGCATCTCGGGATGGGCGCAATCCAACAGAGAAGTCATCCCGCCCTGTTGCTGGACGCTCGCGGTACCCAGCAAGGTCGCCGGCAGGAGATGCTTTCTCCTCCTTGCTTCGTGAATGTCGATGGCCGCTGAAATGTCTGCGGCCTGTGTTAGGTGGTGCACCTTGCGAACCGTTTCGGTAGCGGTCAGACCCTATGGGCGCTTCACGGACAGGGGCTTCCCCAAGCTTCGGAATATCCTAAACCACGTTAATTATTTTACATGTCCACAAGACTCGTCAACTTACATTGAACCTCTGGTACTCCCAGGGTGTTATTTCGCTCGAAGGGAGCGGGGTGTGAGGTCGAGGATTTGCTTGACCCTCATCCTGAGAATCGGAGGCCTGCCTCGATCCCTCTGAGTCGGCTCTTGAACGAGCCTTAAACTGGTCAAGCGACGACGGCTTGGCTCCCGAATTCGGATATCTATCATAATCGGGATTGTAATCTTCACCGAAAATCCCTTGTAGTTTTTTCTTTCGGAAAAGTCCACTCGCGCTAGACCCAGACCCCCGGCTGCTAATAGTCGTAGCACTTGCAACGGATGGTCGCCGGTTGTCACCATTATAATCAAAGTCCGGGGGTTCGCTGGCATAGGTGCGGCCAGTACTAGGGCGGAAGGTCGCGGTGGCAGGCGATGCCTCGTGTTCGGAGTAATCGTGGAAAAAGGTACCCTGGGCATCGCTAGAGGCGGTTTTGGGGGAATATGAGAAGCTTGACTGAGGATCATGTTGAAAATATTCGGGGTAATTGGTGTTGATCTGCGGACCAGGATTGTTCATCGGTGGAGCGCCGGGTTCGTCGCCCCCAAGGACGGCCAACGCTTTCCTATGGCTTCCAAAGCCCGGGAATTTGCGCTGTTCCGTAGGGGAAAGGTCTTGGTTTCCCCAGGAAAACATAGACGTATATAAATCGTTCGGGGCTCCTAACGAAGGCGGTCTCAAAGACCGGGTTTCGAACCTGAACATGGTCAGTTAGAACAGAGATTCCGGTACCCTACTTGCGGTATCCTCAAGAACCAAGACAACAGCCGCGGATATTCAGAATTTCCTAAAGGGGGCGACCTTACCTATCACCGTCATCATCTTTTGAATGCGGAGAGATGCCGCGAGCTCCAGGCACGATGCGACCATAACGGCGACCATCCCTGATGGTTTCTTGCGACAGACCGCTGTTATTCCCAGAGCTTTCCAAACTGTGCCTTCTTTCAGGCTCATCCCCGCCTGGAAACGCCATTTTCGACAGAAATCGGTCGTCTCACAGCTCGGACCCGCGGGCTTGACGGGGGACACCTGGGGGGGGAATGTTAGAAATTCACCACTGTTGACACCATCAAAAATCTCCTTTCCCAGTGTAGTCCAAGGGCAGCAGTATCGTTGATGAATAGGAGTGAGGCGCGGGGTGTAATAATCGTGGCAAGTTCAGCGGCGAGAGGCAGGAGATTGGATGCGTCAAAAGGTGAAACAGCGAAGTTAAAATGGGCGATGGTCAGGGTATACGTGGGCAGTGCAGTAAGCGACTATGGGAGGTGCCATATAAATAGCAAAAAGTGTGAGTTGGAAGAGAGGAAGTCGCTATGTTAATGCTTGGAGGCCGCTCGTATTTATCGTCGGGCGCGGTAATGCTTCAAGTCCTGGAGGGAGAGCGACAGCGAACAAGAAACGCCATCGCACGATTGGAGGCAAAAGTCCATGGGCACATGGCACAAACCAGGAGAAGGGCGAGCAGGGCGAGGGCTGGCCCGAGAGTGATGCAGGTGGTGAGGAGAGGCGTGAATGGGCGGGAGGAGGGGAGGAGCTGCAGGATGACAATCGGATAGTGAGCACTGAGCACTGAGCACAGAGCAGCGACTGTGTTGGAGGTGAGGCTCTGACCTCCCGGCGCGCTAGGCCCAATCTAGCAGCTCCGTCTTTGCCTGCGTTTCATCGACAGGAGACAGACGGGGACTGTGCGGGAATCATGTGTTGATCACGCTGCGCAGACGGGCTTTTACTTTCGCAATTTCTATCTACATTGTCTATAAATCCCGGCTCTGTTTCGTGATCCGGGGGATGGTCTGGGGAGAGCTTCGGGCAGCGACGGACGGATTGCTGGACGGATGACATAATGCACTTCCGGGGCCGTTTCCTGGTCCGTGTCCATGTCTGTGCTGAAGCCGGGGACTTCTTTGTCTGCATTGAAGTCCAGCAGAGACAGCCTGTTTTGTGGAATCTTGGTTTAAAAGGTGTGCTGTTTCTCCGTATTTCAAGTCGAAATTAGCCGATGCTGACCGAGAAGCCCTCGATGCCGGGGAATATCCTGTATCGACCCAAATGAGTCCATATCAAACATGGGATGTCTCGAAGATAGTATCGAAAAGCAGTGTCTTCCCAATTTTTGCGATCCCATTTCTCTTGAAGGCCAACATCTCTTTTTTGCTGAGAAGAACGATATGCTCCCTGCCATGATTGTCGGTCTCAACGCCTTGTTCCCGCCCCCTGCACCGGGCATGCCTTTCGTTCACTAAGCCAATGCATGTCTAAAATAAGGAGCGCTTAGCAATGAAGACAGCAGTAATAAGTTCGTGGAGTTAGTCTGCCCCGTTGTCCCGTTTCGATGAATGTGGGGGCGTATCAATATCCGTGTCATGTCGGTGGCCGCCCATGGTGAGTATAACCGAAGTATATATTTCCCAACGAACTATTTAACATCAGCAAAAAACGTATTGCAAATCCAAACTATTAAGGCCATCGGTGCAAACAGAAGCCTTTAAGCAAGAAATTTACCGATTATTTTTAAATGATATAAATTTAAAAAGTACAGTAATAAATAATAAACCGAATTTTCGGATACTCGTCAATCAAACCTATCTAGAAAAACCCAAGACACAATGAAAGAAACATAGCCACCATGTCATACATAACAGATCACTCCTTCCAGCACCTAAAACCCATGCAATCTATCCATTCTCCTCTCCAATCTCCCCAAGCGACGATTCACTAGGCCACCTCCAAGTCCAAGTCCCATGCGACCTCCGCCTAGTCCTCCTAGCCCCTGTTGATGGCAATTAGAACAGCCATGGTTATTGCAACATCCCTGTTCTTGCGCCTGTCCCTGATGATGTTTCCCCTTTACTGCATTACTCGCCATATTCGCCATGACTGCTCCGGCAACCGCACCGCCGATGGTGCCTAGCGTGCCGTGATCAGATTTCTTGCCAACTTGGTGTCCGACATATGCGCCCTAGAGGTAGTGTTAGCATTTAGAAGGCAGAGGAAAGGAGAAGAAACAGTTGGATACATACTCCTGCACCGCCGACAACTGTAGAACCTAGACCTTTATCACCTTCGGCGTTATTGACGTTGGCTGGGTTGTTGGGGTCCGCCCATGGTTGTTGCTGGTAGTCAACTGGAGCTTGCTGGTAGTTGACTGGAGTTTGCTCATAAGTAGGAGGACCGGCGTTGTTGTTCCATGGCTGCTTGATGAATAAGTTAGTTTAGGCTTCCACTGGTAGTAGGGAAGGGAATGCTAGAATGTCTTACCTGTGTAGGGGTGTACTCAGGGCTCTGCATTGTATGGTAATTCCGGGTTTCCTCACCGGACAGGTGGGCGGGAATGCTTTCGCCGTAATATTCGCGGTTGGACATTGTAATAGTGTTGCCGAGATATGTCTGAATAACTGAGGTACTGTGGAAATTGAGAGAGGAGGAGTGGCTTTTGTAATGTGAATGCGGATGAGGAGTGTTGATGATTGTTAACTTACCGGAGGAATTGAGAGGATATATATAAGGAAATTTCAGGAACTTCAGTCACTTCAGTAGTCGTGGCTGAGCCCAGCTACAAGGCTGAGCTGCGTATCTCCACCTGAAGCTTCCTATTTTCCCGATTAGGAAGTGCAGAATGCCAAGAGGTCGATCACCGTGGCAGCTCAGCACATCATCTGCGGGGCGGATATGCCCGTCACCCGCGTCTGCAGAGCTTGGTACAGACAGATATGAGGAAGCCGAGATTGCTCAATATTGTGGCTATGGTGCGAGTTTTACTGCCACAATGATGTCAACCTGTCTGCACTGTTTCTGCCAACGGCTGGTTTTGCCGTTTATCTATTCAATTGGGTTATATCTTAATTATAGCAGCGACATCTCCACGGAGGCTTTGCCTATTAGTCTGGCCAGCGATGAGTTGAGTTTAAAGTGCCAATCAGGAAGCTGAAGATCTAAGGAGATTGCCTTATCTTAATTATGTTCATAATAGTATCATCCAAATCTAACTTGTCTTTTGAGCGTGCTTCTCAACCAACTCCATCAATCGATCCGCAATATCAACTGCAAACCCTGTATCATTAACATCCCTTGTATCCATCACAACGTCTACCTCCGTCTTATCCAACCCAGCGACCAAAGCCCCAAAGAGGATCTCATCAGCGTACCCATCCTCAAACACCTTCCCCTTGGTCGAGATACTACTAACGCCTGCCCGAGGAACCCAAACCTCCACCATCTCGGGATCACTTGCAAACCGCTTGACCTTATCAGCAATAAACGACGCAATCTTGCTACCCTCCTCCGAATTCGTCCTCATCAGCGTCACACTCGGGTTATGGACAAAAAGCCTCCTCTCCTTATATTTTGGCGGAACCGTACCCATCGGTCCGAAGTTAACCATATCCGTAGCGCCGACAGATATGATATTAGGGATTCCCAGGCGTAGGCCCGTCTCCAACCTATCCTCTTCACAGCTCATCTCCCCGCCTGCAATGAGATCGCAGATTTCCGTCGTCGTGATGTCGAGAATCGCATCGAGCTGTCCCTCCTCGACCAGCCGCTCCATGGCTTTCCCGCCGTGTCCAGTTGCGTGAAAGACGTATATTTCTACTGCGTCCGGGTACTTGCTCTCAAGATGAGACCGGATCTGATCAACACAGGGCGTCGTTACACCGAACATGGTGATCCCGATGCGCGTCTTCCTCTTACCCCCCTGCAGCTGGGTATCTTCCTGCCGACGCTGGACCAGACGGTGCTGGTACGCAGAGGCCATACCAAAGATCGACCCGGCGGCATTTTCCAGGACATCGCGAAGAAGCCGGTTCGACCCCGCAATGTCCACGACCGAGTACATGAGCGTGATATCGCATTCACCGACAACAGGGCCTGTATTGCCCGATGCAACCGTGCTGACGATTAATTTGGGCAGACCAATTGGTGCTGCATCTCGCATGACTGACGAAATCAGACTCGTCCCTCCACTACCGCCTGTGCCGACGATGCCGTGGATTTCTGTTGTGGATAGCAGCTCGGCGACAGCGCGAGTCGCGCAGTCGGATAGGAACTTGATTGCCTCCCCCCTGGGCAGTTCCCATGGCTCATTCTTTGGCGTTATGGGCGCGTATTTGGATATCAGCTCGGGCTGGGTTATTGTGATTGCGTCGTCGGTGGTTGGACGACAGCCGCAGTCGATGACGGTGATTTGTATAGGCTGGGACAGGCGGAGGGCGGTTTGGTGGAGTTGGTCGTGCAGATAGAGAGTTTCAGAGTGCTTGGTATCCAGCGTGCCGAGAAGGACGATATGCGGCATGGTTTCGATCTTGGATCTATAATTATTGACAAATATCGTGCTGGATGGGATTAATTGAAGCTGATGTTGAGAGGATGCGGGGCTGCTGATGCACGATGATTTCATCTTCCGACAAGCAAACCCCCCTCATCTCGCATACAACATCTAACGGACAACTACCTAGACAAGCCAAGCCAGATTGTCTTCACCAAAATGGCACCACCAACCAACCGCGATGAGATCCTCGCCCGCCTCCGCCGCCAGATCTCAGACGGAAAGCCCATCGTCGGCGCTGGAGCCGGTACCCCCTCCCCGCCCCAACCATCACCATCCCACCATCATTCATCACCACGCTAATACATCCAGGCATCGGCCTATCCGCCAAATCCGTCGAAGCCGGCGGCGGCGATCTAATCATAATCTACAACAGCGGCCGCTTCCGCATGGCCGGGCACGGCAGTCTCGCGGGTCTAATGCCCTACAGCAACGCCAACGAAGTCGTAGTGGAGATGGCGTCCGAAGTGCTCCCAGTCGTGAAACACACGCCCGTGATTGCCGGCGTCTGCGGCACAGACCCCTTCAAGGACATGCCGCGGTTCCTGGCGCAGCTCCGTGACTTGGGGTTTGCGGGGGTGCAGAATTTCCCGACGGTGGGGCTGATTGATGGGCAGTTTCGCGCGAATCTGGAGGAGACGGGGATGGGGTTTGGGAAGGAGGTTGAGATGATCGGGGCTGCGGCGGGGATGGGGTTGGTGACGACGCCGTATGTGTTTAATGTTGGGGAGGCGGAGGCAATGGCGCGGGCTGGGGCGGATGTGCTTGTTGCGCATATGGGGTTGACGACGAGTGGCACGATTGGGGCGAAGAGTGGGAAGGGGCTTGAGGAGTGTGTTGAGGAGATTCAGGCTATCAGGGATGCGGCTGTGAAGATTCGCGAGGATGTGATTGTGCTCTGCCATGGGGGCCCGATTGCGAAGCCGGAGGATGCGCGGTTTGTGCTTGAGCGGGTGAAGGGCCTGCATGGGTTCTTTGGGGCTAGTTCGATGGAGAGATTGCCTGTTGAGGTTGCTATTAAGGATACAACGAAGGAGTTCAAGGGGATTGCCATGAGAACTGAGTAATGAGTATACACTGTATACATCGCTGAGCCAGAATTAAGCTTAATTAAAAGCGCTGATCGCCACCAACACTAAGGATTCAACCACTATCGAGGATTCATATATAGATAGTGATCATTGATATTTCATATATTTTGATTTAACCGAGTATGGTAAAAGATATACAAAGTATATACTCGGTACTCGTCACCGATTCTCCTCAGTCCACTGAAAGTTGTGCTTCACGCGAATCTGCATAGGAGCCGAATCATTCTCAGAGCCCACGCTTTCATCCGTCACCAACACCTCGTCATACTTCCTCAGGCTACTCCCCCTGCCCACATCAGTGGTAAGGTAGATCTCGTCCTCCTCCGGCCGGAACCGTGCTCGCTTGCCATTCGCCGAGCGGTACGCAGGCCGATTCCCAGTGTTCGTGATACTCTCCGGGTTCGTCCCCGGCATCCCCGGCTTGCTGTTTGAGCGGGAGCCACGCGTGAGGCGCGAACTGAACAGACCGAGCTTAGGGATGCGGCGGAGGAGAGGGCGCAGAGTGGGAAGGCAAGCGCTGACAATGCCGATACAGGGCTCGACATTAGACCAGATCATGGCGTCGCCAATGACCCAGGTGATGTCGACGGAGCTTTTCATTTTGGTGATGGTGTAGATGCGCACGATTGTCGCGACGCAGACGCTATGCTGATTAGTCAATCATTCCAAGCAGCAGTTAGTCTCAGAGACTTACAATCCTCCCAGTAGAAAAATACCGCAGATGGCGAATTTCTGGGCCCGCGGCATTTGGAGCTTCCACACGACTGGGATCGGGACGCAGAGGATGATCACATCGGTGAAGAGGTTTGCGACGCCGTTCCAGAGGTAGAAGTTATATAGGTTGATACGGCAATAACCGCCGCTCATGGGATCTACCCATTGTGTCCAGAAGAAGGAGGTCGGGACACAGGCGAGCGAGATGGTGGTCGACACCGAGATCGTATATCCGATGGAAAGAAAGGCGCAGACATAGATGCTGTAGGTGAAGCGGAAGATGCGATGGTAGAGGAGGAGCACGGAGATCTTGACCATTGGAACGGTCGTGGCGTAGAGGATGACATAGGAGAAGATGATCTATATCTTTGAGTCTGGGTCTGGACGGAGGATCGAGATTCTCTCTTACCTTCATGCTCTGCACAACGTCGTCTGGTTCCACTACCCAGATATGTTTCCCAATGCCATATGCACCACCTGTATGTTGTTAGAATTTGTTAGATCTGTTGTCTAGTGGGGTGGTTTGGACTGTACCAAGTATGCAGCATACCCCTGTCCCATATGCGAACGCCTGGTAACGCCACCGTCAGCACTATAAGTCTCGGACTTCGGTATAGAGTCGCATACCAGAGCCACCAGAAGCGACCAGTCGTCGTATTCTAGACTCGCACTGCGGTTGGCAGTTCGAGCCCAGAAGCGCAGGCCGACGAAGACCGTGGCAATGGCCATGACGGCCGCGACAATGCCATCATTCTGGACGATGCGGTCTTCGCTCAAGTCCAACCCCGGCGGGGGCTTTCCAATAACAGCACTCGACATCAAGTCGGCCCTCAGTGCATGATCTTGCGGGTTAAGGGGGCAGGGCGTTCCTAAGAAACGACAGAGAGACGGGTATGAATGAGCGAATTGAGCGAAAGACACCTTTTAGGGAACCGGCTTACATGCTATTTAATTTACCTCTATTTTTACATATGGAGCCGTGCTGAAGGGGCAAACAAGAAGAATGGGGAGACGCTTTAGCCGGCCGTTATGCCGTTCGAGATGCCTGGGCTGGGGGTCTGGACTTCAGCCCTGACATTAATCGATCTCGTTTTGATAGAAAACAGCCAATTGTAGCAGATCAACTGGTTCGGCCCGCATAATGAGGGCATCCTCGCTTGACTCCAGTCTGCTTTTGCAGGTTTCGGCAGTGGGCGCTCTCCACTCTGTTAGTGCCGTCTGTCTCAGCATCTCACCAGCCGCGCCCCAAGCCCACCACCAACGCCCCTGGGCGGGCCTGTTAATTTATTCCCGGCTTTCTTCTTCTTCCCTTGTGCGAGCTGCTTCCTATTCTTGACAGGTTCTTTCAGGCTAGCGTAGTCTGCTGTGTCTGCCGCTTTTTTTTTTTTTTTTTTTTTGGCGCG